AAATTTGACTTTCAAATACAAGACTCAAGAGAAGCATGAAAAGGTAAACAGGAAAGAGAAATCATAAGGGACTTATTAAAGTTGAACTGTTTACATTTCTACATGGAAAGATGATATTTGTAACTTATGAGACCTTTCTCAGTATTAGAGTAGTTGGAGAGAACATATATAGACAGAGGGCACAGGGTGAGCTGAATATGAAGGGATGATATCTAAAAAGTAGAATTAAGGGGTGAGAGAGGATTGTACTGGGAGAAGGAGAAAAGGAGAAGTAGAATGGGGTAAATTATCTCATTTTATAAAAAAAGGGAAGAAAAAGCTTTTACCATGGAGTGGAGGTGGGGGGAGGTGAGAGGAAATGAATGAATCCTACTCATCAGATTTGGCTTAAGGAGGGAATAATATATACACTTATTTGGGTATGGATATCTGTCTTACCCTACAGGGAAATAAGGGGAAATGGGATAAGACAGGGGAGGATGATAGAAGGGAGGGCAGATCAGGGGAGAGAATAATCAGAAGCAAACACTTTTGAGGAGGGTCAGAGTCAAAGGAGAGAATAGAATAAATGGCAGGTGGGATAGGATGAAGGGAAATACAGTTAGTTTTTCACAACATGACTATTATGGAAGTGTTTTGCATGACTACACATGTATCGAGTTGCTTGCCTTCTCAATGAGGGTAGGTGGGGAGGGAGGAACGGAGAGAATTTGGAATCCAAAGTTTTAAAAACAAATGTTAAAAATTGTTTTTACATGCAACTGGGAAATAAGATATATAGGCAATTGGATATACAAATCTATCCTTCCCTACAGGAAAACAGAAGGGGAAGGGGATAAGAGAAGAGGGGGGTGTTAGAAGGGAGGGCAGATCAGGGAAAGGGGTATTCAGAATGCACGCTGTCTTTGCGTGGGGGGAGGGGAGAGATGGGGAGAAAATTTGGTACTCAAAATCTTATGGAAGTGAATGTTGAAAACAAAAAATAATTAATCTAAAAAAAATTAAAAAAGATAGTGAAAGCTGTGCATATGAATCTGGATTTAAGGGTAAGATGGAAAATAAATGACCCTTCAAAAAACTGAAGAAAAAAATAAAGAACCAAGAGAGAACATTGATAGGCAAAATCAATGAAAGAACATATGAATTGTCCTAGTGATTGAATAGAGAGGAAGGGGTAGAATTCAATGTCTTCAGAAAAATGGAAAGAGAGGAGTGTGTTTATGGGGAGTTTGGACTCACATTATTAGCTGGGCTAGAAAAAGGAGGAAAGCCTATTGTTTTACAGAAGCCTTAATAATGATAACTGCATATTGTTTTACATATTACTTGTATTTAAAAACATTTATGTCCTAATAATGTTACAGTGTGTGGTCATTTATATAGCACTTTAAGGTTAAGAAACCACTTTGCAGATAGCTCATTTGATCCTTGCAACAAACCTGGGAGGTAGGTGCTCTTATTACCCCCATCTTACAGCTGAGGAAATTGAGGTAGACAGGTTAAATGATTTGCCTAGAATTGTACACCTAGTAAGTGTTGGAGGCAGATATTTGAATTCAGGTCTTCCTAACTCCACGGAGAAGGCAATGGGAAACATCTTCAGTATCTTTGCTAAGGAAACCCCAAATGGAGGTCACGAAGAGTCAGGTAATGACTGGACAACAGCAGCTTCCTTACTCCAGGACCAGTGCCCTGTCCACTAGGCTACCTAGATGCCTCTCATTTGCCTTACTTTTGTATTAAGGTCATAGAGAACATCTCTCTTTAAATCCCTTGTAGAAAGAGATTCTAGGGCATCTGCAGTGCCCAGGACACAGTGAATGCTTAATCGATGCTTTATTTATTTACCTATCATATCTATGTATCTGTTCTACAAGGGTTAAGAAATGAGGAAGGGGACTCAAATTCTTAAAATCTAGCCAATAGCTTACTAACATTCAGACTCCTTAAGAGTCTGCCCAATATGATGGATATTCTAATGGATGTTCAAAACCTTGTCTTTGGCTGAAAGAAGGCTTGGGTCGAATTCTTTCAGGCAGGACCTACATGTTCTGTTTTTGGGGTCCCAGCACCCCTAAACCTCAACATTTTGGTGGCCCGTACAAGGAAACTGCCTAACCCCAACTTCTTCTCCAGCCAAGATTGGAAGGTATGTAAGCCTCCCCCTCCTCCTTTCTCACTCTGCAGTTGGGGTCGCTCTCCAAGCACCAGGGCTTAGAGGTGCTTTTCAGGCGGACAGTTATGAGGCTTTCTCGCACTTGGCCTGACACTCTCTCAGGCTCTCAGTCCACTGGGTCAGTTCGAGGCCATAGACCTGGGTACACCTTCCACAGCATAGAGGACAAGGAAAGACTACTTATCTGGAAGTGTATGCCCAATTCTGTCAATTCTCTCATTGCTAGGGGATTGGGGAAAACTGCAGTTGCTTTCTGGTTCCTTGAGGCTTACTTACTCCCTTCCCTCTACACCCCTGAATCCTCCTTCATGGATGTGACAGGGAAAAGTTAGAACAGCTAAAACTATCTTGGCAGATTCTAGAGGTTTTGTGATTGATCATTAAGGAGTTTTGAAACACCTCCTTACAACTCTGGTCTCTCCCTTCCCTTGAGTCAAGAGGGTATCTGTTAACCCCTCTCATAGGAGAAGAGAATTTGACCCTTTCCCCCTCACCTTTGATTTCGCCCTCCCTGACCTGGGGAAAAGGAAGGGAGAGGTACAGCAGCTATAGCATGGGCCCCACTGGCCCATGGGTATGATGTGGGGCCTAGAGTAACCTTTGCCTGGTAGCGTCACCCACGTTCAGCATATCCTGCTCAAGGTAAAGAAGCTAGCCTGTGAACTTGGGTAAGCATGTTCTTTTAAACTTGTAGTTTTAACTGTTAATGATGAGACATTGATTCTCTGTGTAAAGTAATTTGGAAATGAATTTAAGAAAATTGTAATTTTGGTTGGTAATGGGTTTGTTTCAAGTTTCAAATTGGTGAACTTTTTGTATCAGTTATGTCAAGCAACTTTTCATAATTTGGTTACCGCTAAAATAATTTGGTTATTGTTTTAATGTGTAAACTAGCCAAAAAACTTGTTTGGGTTATGACTTGCTGAGAATTTGCAAATGTATAGAAATCTCTAATGCTTGGCTTTTTACACCAGGACAAATTTAAGTTTGAGATGTAAATCCTGAAAAAGTTTTTCCTAAGCTGTGATTAGTGAAACTTGCTGTGTGAGGTAAAAACTCATAGGATTTTATTTTGGGTTGTCTAATGGATCATAATAATCCACTGATAATCAACAATCCACCATCAGAGAGAAATGCCACAAGCTACTCAGAGAATGTGATACTGGTGGGTAGTCAGCATCAGGAAAAGCTGAGAGGACACTTTTAGCCTCAGTCTGGGATCCTCCTGGCTCAGTTTCCCCATTATGTTCCTTTGAAAGGGAATGTTACCCACCTGGCTATTCCTGAGTCTTGCTATGAGGTGGATTTGATATTGCATAGTTGGAAAACTGAATTATCTGAATCCAAACAGAGCTAAGGATGTTTTATCCTCTCATAGTTGGGCCCTAAACCTAGTCCCTGCTTTATATCTGGGCCCTGCAGTCTTTTCTGTCAGATTTGTGTCTTCCAGACCACAGGCCGTTCATCTACAGTTGGTAGCAAACAGTGGGTACCAGCCAATGTCCCTCCATTGTTCCCTAGATGCAGCCTGTGCTTGGTTCCAGTCAGCCTCCTCTTTGGGACCCCCTCAAGGCAGGAACAGCTCTACGCCCCTTGCCAGCAGGAAGCAGTTTCAGAAGCCAAGACCTTCGCCCCTGACCCCAAAAGAATTTGGGTCCCATTTATTTGAGAGGGGAATGATGAGGATGTGATCTAGACCCCAAAAAGGAAAAACCCTGGACTTTCCCACATGGCCAAATTTCTGGCATTCACCTTAGGCTATAATCCCATCAACTGGCCTTTCATTGTGGCTACACCCAATCTCCCAGTTCTGTTACCCTTAATCTAGCCTAGCTCTCCATCGTTTTACCTCCCTTACCCTTAATCCTAGCTAGGCTCCATTCTCTTTTGACCACGTAGTCCAGGTTCCAGGAGTTCTGTTCACCCCAACTTACTGGCCACTCGCATCCAGATCCTCCTTAGACCCCTCCTCTAGTCACCCCAAACCGCTTGGCCACTCCTAGATCCCTCCCACAGCCTTTCTGTGTATGAGGTTCATCTTGTCTCCATTAAGGCGCTCAGATTCTTACAATCTAGCCACTGCTCAGATTCTTAAAATCTAGCCTCACTAACATTCAGACTCCTTAAGAGTCTGCCCAATATGATGGATGTTCTAATAAACCTTGTCTTTGACAAAAAAAAAAAGTGAGGAAGGGGATGAACTGATATTTCTTGGAAAAGAGTGTCACAGATTAATGTTATTTAAACCAAGAGATGATGTGAGGAAAAGGGTAGGGAGGATTCCTGGGTGGGAGAAAAAAAGAATAACAATAAACATAAAGTTGAGGAATCTGAGCTAGGCTGAAGAACAAAACAGTGGGAGTTTAGATAGGTCAGAGCAGGGATTCTTAATTTTTTGTGTGACATAGATGCATTTAGAGACTCCAAAGTAATGTTCTTAAAATGCATAAAATAAAATGCGTAGGATTTAAAGGAAACCAATTATATTGAAATACAGTCATCAAAAAATATATGCGTGTGTGTATATATGTGTATATACATGTAAATGTGTATATTTACATATACATATATATACAAATGTGTATATGTGTGTGTGCATGTGTATATATATATATACATATATATAGAGATATAGATATAGATATAGATATAGAAATATATGTATATGCACATACATATAAAGTTTGCAGACCCCAGGTTAAGAAACCCTGGTAGAAGGAGGTGACTGTTATAAAATGACTAACTAAAGCAAATGGCATGGGTCCAGTGCTAGTTTTAATGACTTTCAGAACCCAACCATCATCTTTTCCATTTGTCTTTGCAGATCATAGGGATCTGTTTGCTAGCAGAAGGGCAGCAGCTATACCTGCATTGGTGCAACAAGGTAGGACATATGAAAGCTTTCTAAACTGACTTTCCCTAGGGTCAGGGACAGGGTCACATGTATGCCTTCCCCATCCTTTCCTACAAAGTCTTGGGAAGAAGGGTGCAAAAACAGCACCTGAGGAAGGGACAAGAGCAATATTTGCCTACAGAGATTAATGGAGTGGAGGTAGGGGCAGTATGGAGGGTAGGTTGAGGTGGATTTAATATGTTGTTGATATTTGTATTTTTTTAAAAAGTGATGTTGATTCTTTGCTTTATTGCCCAGAGTGACTGGCAGGTCCAAGCTGCCTGTTTCCCACGACAGCATGGTACCCTCTAGGGCCATATCAGTTTTGCCATACAGTAGGCATTGATCTTTTAATTAGAATTTTGAGTCTTCTGGTTCAATTATCTATATCTACTTAACATTCACCTCGCCCACATCTCTATCTTGTCCACAAAAATGTCATAAGACACTTTAAGTGCATTAAATGCCCTTTAAGTTCATTAATGCAATCAAGATGATTTATGCCTATGATATTTCTTGATTGGCCAATCTAATAACTGTTATCAAAAAAGGATATGAGGTTAACCTACCATGACCTTTTATTTGTGAACCTATGTTGATTATTAATTATTATTTTTTAAATTGCCCACGAAACATGTTCAACAATAATACTAACATTTTGCTAGAGATCCATGTAAAACATAGACATCTGTAGTTCTTGGGATATATCCTTCCCTCCTTTTTGGCTCTTGTCTTGTTCTCTTGTGTTTTTCTCAAAGCTTCTGAACAGTGATCCCTTCATCACATCTGCGAATTCTTTCATGGTTTCTATTTTATCTAGCCCTGGAGTCTGGAAGTCATTTAAAGCAATTAGAATCTAATTATCAATTATTAAATGCTTTCCTAGTATTGAAGGAACTGGGTGTATTTAGATAAGGTGAGAGAAGACTAGGGGCCAGAACTGTTTAGAAAAAATGATTGTCTGAAGTAGAGGATTAGGTTTATTATAACTCCCTGTCCTTGGGAGACAGTGGAAGGAACCTGCAGAGAGATTAGTTTTTACTTAGCTGGCTGTCTCCCATACCTGCAATGCTTTCCATCCTCACCTCTGCCTTCTGGCTTCCTTCAAGACCTAACTCAGATCTCACCTTCTGCAAGAGGCCTCTTCCAGTTCTCCCAACTGCTAGTACCAACCCTCTAAGATTGCGACGTAAGATTATACATTATTTCTGTTTATATCTTCAGAATGTTATTCTTGAGCACTTCCCATCCTACTTGGGTTGACATATTAGCCTGCAGAATTTTTGAGTTTCCAAAGAAAAATCAACAAAACCCCCCAAAACATGTATATATGTATGTGTGTAGATATATATGCCATGTATAAAATATACATATATGTATATGTGTGTACACACATTTACACATATACATACATAACATATATATATATATATATGAAATATATATTCATTAAGGCAAGGTGTCAGAGAGACAACAAGTTATAGCAAAAGGAAGAATACCACTGTAGAGATATCTTGGAACTCACAAGAGACAGAATCAAAGCCCACAACCTGAAATGTTTATATACAAATGTAGAAATGTATAAATTACAAGCAATATAAACTATATATCCTCATGTGAAGAAGTAAATTTGGCCTTAACAGCATCACCAAGATTTTCTGGGTTTGAATTCATGAATGGAATATCACTCTGGAAGGGAATAATTTATTCAAAGGAACAGAATTTTTCCAATAGATTAATGGTCACAGGATCTGAATAGGCAGTTTCCAAAGAAAGAAATCCAAATCATCAGCAACCATGTGAAAAAAATTGTTCTAAGTCACTAATTAAGAGGAATGAAAACTAAAGCACTTTGAGGCTTTACCCTTAGTCCATCAGATTGGCAGAGAGGACAGAAAGGGAAAACAGGCTCGCTATTGGCTGGGTTTAACCATTTGGAACTGTGCTCCAATACCACCACAGTCATAAAACTGTGGCATACCCCTTGGCCCAGGTAGAGTTCTACATCAGCTGGCAGCTGCTTATTTTCTCCAGGATACACTATACATTTCCTGGTCTTCTTTTCAGCTAGACTTTTACAGTCTGATCTGACTTGGTCCCACCTTCCCATCACTCTCCTTGGTCCATTCTTTGTTCTAGGTGAGGTGGTGTACTTGTTATTTTCTTGTACTTGACATCCTAGTTCTCATCTGCTTCTGCACAGGCTGCTTCGTAAGTTTGGAATGCCCTTTCTCCTTACTTCTGCCTCTTAGAATCTCTAGCTCCCATTAGGACTCAGTTCCTGGGATATCTCAAGCACATGAGGCCTTTTTTATGATCCCCCAGGTTATTAGTACTACTCTCCAAATTACTTTTTATTTTTCTGTGTATGTAGTGTTTTTTTCCCCCAATGAATGTAAGTTACCTGAGAGCAGAGAATGTTTTCGTATTTGTCTTTGTGTTCTCACCACCTAGCCTTGCACATAGTAGGGTTTAGCAAATGCTTCTTGAATTGGACTATTTAAAGAACAGTTGGCTAGTGGGGCCTCTTAGGCTCTGTGAACTAACAGGAAAGAGGGTGTGGAAGGATGGATGATATCCCCGTATAATATCTGATGATTAATAGTGTCATTTTCCCCCATCTGGCTGTGTGGTCATCCCATTCTGAACATTATGAGGAACCTTGGGGTCTGTATTCCAGGATATGGTCCCAGCCAGTGTGAACCCCTCAAGAATATGGGACTCAAAAGCAAGTCACACTGAGTCTTCTTCCTCTGTAGCATCATGTTGTTCAGTCGTTTCAGTCATGTCTGACTTTTCGTGTCCTCATTTTGGATTTTCTCGGCAAAGATGCTGGAGTAGTCTGCCATTTCCTTCTTCAGTTCATTTTACAGATGAAGGAACTGAGGCAAACAGGGATAAGGGACTTGTCCAATGTCACACAGTTAGTATCTGAGGCTAGATTTGAACTCATGAAGACGAGTCTTCCTAAATCTAGGTCCCATACTCTATCCACTGTGCCACTTAACTGCCCTTCCACAGCATTACAGAAGAGTAAAATCTTGTTCAAGTAAACATCTAGGACAATGGAGGAGAAGGGAAAGGGAGGTTACAGAGGTGTGTGAGAGCCAACAGTGCCAAAGTGATTGACCTTAAGCTCAGTCTGACCATGTCATCCCATATTCAATAAAGTCCAGTGGTTCTGTGAGATGATCTCCAATTTGTCATCCATCCATCCATCCATTGGTCTGTCCACTCACCAGTCTGTCCGTGCATCCATCCATCCAACCATCCATCCATCCATCCATATCTTGCTTGTACATAATGATTTATATATCATCCCTCCCATTAGACTGTGAGCTCTTTGAGAGCGGGGAGCTTTGTTGTTGTTGTTGCTTTTTTGCCTTTCTTTCTATGTCCAGCACTTAGCACAGTGCCTGGCACATGGTAGTTGCTTTATAAATTCTTGTTAATGATGATGATTGTCACCAGGCAATTTGGGATTGCCTTGGCAGGCTTTGTGAGTGTGTGTAGTTTTGTACCCTTATTGTATGAAGATGAGCCTTTGTTTTTTTATTGCATCTCACCATGCCACCTCTTTCTCTCAGCTCCCACACCTCCAGTGTCATCCTGAGTCACTGGAGTCTCCATTCTCCCCGATCCTATAGTGGCGTGGGGTTCTGTGAACCTTGGGGGGTGGTCATTGCACCCGTGGCATGCTTCCAACATGAGGTGTTTGTCCCTGCAGATTGGCGCTCTGTTGGTCTTGAGCATATGCATCCTTGCTTTTCTATCCATAAACTTATTTTATGAGGAAAAATGGAAAGCTGCTGAGGTATCACTACAGGTAAGCACACCCTAAAGGTCACAGTTGTGTGTCCATTAGAAACTGATCTCAGCCTAATATTCCAACTTTCTTGGCAGATGACTGCTCCCTATGTACATCTCTTTGGCATATGCATGATGGTGGTTTTCTCATGGCCCATAGCCTTCTATTTTGCCAAGTTGAATAGAACAGGTAGGCCAGGTTGCATAAACCTGGAGTTTATTGGGTTGGTGTAACTGGAGGTTGGGTGGTAAGGAGGAATATACACAGGTCATGGGGGCCCTTAGAGACTTTGCCAAAGGAGGAGGGCTCAGGGGGATTCTTGATCAGAGTCATAAATGGAGATATTGGCACTTTTGCCAACTACCGCAGAATGTGTTTGGAGCAAATATTACCTTCGGCTCGGGAAGACACTGTATGGTATAGGGTATTGAGGTGGGGAGGAGTTAATCCCATCCCACTGTCATTCTTTTTTTTTTTTAGGCAATTGGGGTTAAGTGACTTGCCCAAGGTCACACAGCTAGTAAGTGACAAGTATTTGGTCTGAGGCCAGATTTGAACGCAGGTCCTCCTGACTCCAGGGCTGGTGCTCTATCCACCACTGTCATTCTTACTGAGAGGTATGGAGCTGCCTGGAAACATGGATAGAGAGCTAGCCTTCTGAGGCAGGATGAACTGCCTCCCAAGTCCAAGTCTCTTGACACACACTTGATACACACTTAGCGTCTCATTCTTAGCTCTAGGCATCTCTTTAAGACTCTAAATTGCAGGGAAGCTGCCAACATGGATAGGTAGAGGCACTTTTCTCACCCTAGAATTCTATCAATACAATCACTGATCTAGAACCTAACCATTGCCCCTGCTAACTAAGTATTGAGCTGTGTTGTTTGTATGTTGCTGAAGGATTGTGGATTCCAATGTCAGCTGCCACTAAGTTAGGACCAAGGAGTGGCTTTGCATTTGATTTATTCTTAACCTCTTGCCCAGTTTACCAGGGCACCAGCCCTTGTTGAACTCCTCAAGGGTGATGATGAGCCCAAGTATGGTTGTGTTCTGTTTCCAGAGTAGAGACAATTTCACTGAGGGCCTTCTGAGTTAATTCTGTAATCTGAATAGAGTGGATGTTCCCTGGGAGGCCCCAATTGATAATAAGCAGTTATGCCAGAGCCAAAGAGAAAGATAACTGTTTTGTAAGTCATAGCTGCAATGATAGGATCATGTACTTGGACCTGGGAAGGACCCTGGAGGTCCTCTAGAACAACTCCTTCATTATTCTTGTAGTCTGGGGATGATAGTGATGCCCGTGTACAAGAGAGGGAAGGTCTTATCAGGATAGGGTAGCCACAGAAGAGAAGCTAATAAACTCATGATGATCCTGTTTTCCCTTTTTGTCAAGCTTTAGCCCTTATGGAAGTGGAGCACAAAGTTCAGAAAGAAGCCTATGAAAAGTCTAGGAAAATAATGAAAATTAGAGGTAAGGGTTGGTGTAATAGATTTAAGTGTCTGGGAGATAATGAAATCAGGCAAGTGGGGCAAACTCCTACAAGTGAGACAGAGGACAAAGGCATGTCCAAGATCTGCTAATCAAATTTTTTGGATGACACAAGGCTATGAGGGAAAAACTAATGTAATGGATGAGAGAATCCACAAAGATCTTAGAGCACTGACCTGAATCTACTGAGATGACCTAGGAATAAATGAAAGTCTTATACTTAGGTTAGAAAAAAAATCAACTTTATAAATACCCAATGGGGAAGTCGTTCCTGGACAGCAGTCAGGCTGTCAGTAAGGTTTTATTAAGTGCCTATGGTGTGCCAGGCACTGTACTAAACTTTGGAAATATAAAAAAAGGAAAAAGACAGTCCCTGCTCTCAAGGAGCTCACCGTATGTGACTTTTAAAAATAAAAAAAAAGTGACCACAAACTCAGGGTGAGTCCATGTGGGTGATAAGGCAGCCAGATACCTTAAAGTGCATGAATTAAAAGCAATATGGGGCCAAGTATGAGAACCATCTCTCCCTCTGTCCAGACTGCATGTAGAATTTTGTGTCTGATTCTAGGGTGCTTTTAAGAGGGTCCTTGACAAACTTGGTGTGGATCCAGAGAGGGGTAACTGGAATAGTGCCATCTGGGGAAATATTGAAGGAAATAGGTTTCAGTGTTAAGCAGCCTGCCTCTTGCACAGAAGGAGGTCACTGCTGATACAGGTAGCTCTCCCAGGTGTCCAGGGAGAGCTGCTGATCTGTGGAGGGAGGGTGGAATTCCAGTCCTTGGAATCCTGAGCACAGATCTGGCAGCAGTCCCAGAGAAGGAGCTATCCCTCGGAAACTCTAGGACAGAACAGGAACATGGCAGAAGGATAGAGTCTTCAAAATAGAGGTGGCGAGCTTAATTCATTACTAGCAAAGCAAGGTACTGTCCAGTAAGAACATCCAGTAAGGGCGAGAGAAAGGTGAGTAACCATGGTCACTGACTACCTGCTGGGGTTACTGAGGCAGTTGTTTGTTGACATGATTACCCCAACTGAGAGGACTGCTGTTTTCCCTGGAGCATGGATCTACGACATCCTGGGAAACCTCCTACGACTTACCAAATCTGATGCCTGCTACCCACTTCTGGTGATTCCCAGGGGCTGCAGATTAAACTAGAAAGCCTCTTAGAAAGCACGAAGCCTCTTAGGGGCACACATGTGGCTCATTACTGCCATCAAGCAAGGCGAGGGCTTCCGAAGCAGATTTGGGAAGTGAACAGCTGGATAAGAAGATGAGCCTTGAGAAGAGGGTTCAGATTTCTAGACCTATTTAAAATACAGGAATGATGGGCTCTTCTTATGGGATGGGCACTTCTCGAAGTGCTGGTACAAATGAATTTGCCTGGAGTCTGGTAAATCTATTCAAAAGGTCTTTGAACTAAAAAGGGTGGGGTGTGTGTGTGTGTGTATAAAATGACCCATGTACTACATCACGCTACATTATATACCATAAAAAGTAACTACGTTGTAATTCTAATAACTAGCATTTGAGGTTTGCAGAACACTTTTTATTTAAAATGTCTCATTTAATCCTCACCACAACCATGAGAGATAGGTGCTATTATCATCCACATTTTATAGATGAGGAAACAGAGCTAGACAGAAGTTAAGTGACTTGCCAAGGGTCACACAGCTAGTAAGTGTCTGAGGCTAGATCTGAACTCAGGTCTCCCTGACTTCCAGTCCACTGCTCACTCTGCTACACCAAAGACACCTGGAAGCCCAGAGAAAGAAACAGATCAGAGTGTACCAAATAAAACTCATTGCCTTGGATGACTAATCACAAATGCCAAAAATGGGGTGGGGAGGGAATGGGAAAGTAAAGATCCTAATGCACTGAAAAATTTGACCTTATAATTAGAATATGGCTCTGAAAGAGTATACTTTATATTCTCCACTCAGCTCTCACTGTGATCTTCCTACAGTGCACGGCAGACCATGTCACTCACCTGTTCATTGAACTCCAATGGCTCCCTATTACCTCCAGGATCAAATATAAAACCATCTGTTTGGCTTTTGAAGCCCTTCATAACCTGGCCCCATCACACCTTTCCAGTCTTTTATGCCTTACTCCCCTCCAGGTTCTCTGTGATTCAATGACACTGACCTTCTTGCTGTTCCTCACAGAAGACCTTCCCTGGCTTTCCTCATACCTCGAATTCTCTCCTGCCTCAGATTTACCTTCTGGCTTCCTTCAAGTCTTAGCTAAATTCCCTTTTGCAAGAAGCCTTTCCAGGTCTTCCATCATGTTAGTGCCTTCCCTCTGAGATGACCTCCAATTTATGTTATATTATCTCCTGTATAGATATCATCTGTACATAGTTCTTTGCATGTTGTCTCTCCCACCCTTAGCCCCTATTAGACTGTAAACTCCTCAAGGGCAGGGACAATGTATTAACCTTTCTTTTTATCCCCAGCACTTAGCACAGTGGCTGACACATAGTAGGTGCTTAATAAATGTATCATGTGGCTGGCACATAGTAGATGTCTTATAGATGCTTGTTGACAATTTATGTAAAAATCAGGAGAAAAGGAGTACTGGATATTAAGGAGACAAGCTTATATAAAGAAATTAAGAAACCAGAAAGGGAGAAATACAGTGGTGATCATTTGGGTAAAGTTCAACAGAGGTAGTAACAAAAGGGATCATTAGAATATATTATCAGGCACCTGGCCAGAAAGAGAAAATAGATGAGGAATTTGGGAGACCCAATCCAGGCACAAAGCCATGTTACTCTCTGGACATCTGCTGGGACACTCTGCCAAAAACACAATAGCTAATAATCTTTTGACTCGGGATAATTTCCTTTCCAACAAAAGGAACTCCTCTTGTGGCTATAATTCTCACCAATAAGAAAGAATTGGTTGGTGCGGGCATGAGTGATTACAAGGAATGCATGGCTACAGGGAGACTGAGTCATCCCAGATTAACCTTATGTCCTTAAAAAAAATTTTTTTTTTTGGACAATCCCTGCCCTGGTAAATCCGGACACTGCTGTAGAGATTGTTACCCTGAATTTTAGACAAGCATTGGACAGTGTCTTGCTGTAATCGTGGAAAGAGAAGTGGACTCTAGTTAGTACAGTTAAATGGGTTCAGAACTAATTTAATGGATGATGAATTTAAAGGGTAGTCAGTCATTCATGGTTTGACATCAGTTCAGAAGGAGTTCTCTCCTGCAGGGCCCCAGGGATCTGTCCTTGTGCCTTGTGCTATCCAAAGTTTTTAATCATTGACTTGGGTGAAGACATAAATAGTGGGTTTATCAGATTTTCAGATAATAGAAAACTGGGAAAGAGAGAAAACTCACGTACGTAATAGGATCTGAAAAGTTGCCCATCTAACCACATGTCACAATCTGGGCAGCTAGTTTTCCTCTCTTCTTCTTCCTCCTCCTCACATCTCTCATTACTTCTTTTTTCTATGTGTATTGGGAGGCTAATCCCCTTTGTATGACTATGGACCTCATAGAGGTCCTTTAGTATTCTAAGGCTTGATGCTGTTAGTGCCATGTTATCTGCACCCAGAACTTCACCATTCTTAGAAAATCCTTCTTTAATTTGGACTTGATGTGGGATGTCTTCCATGACACAGGTAAATATGTTTGGTGAGGATATGCCTCCATATTTGATGCCTTGCCTGACATTGACAACATGAGGATTTCAGGACAAATTCTGCATGTCAAAAAATCTTGAGTGATCATAATGTGAATAAGAAGCCCCTTGTTTCAGGAGAACCATTATGGCTCTGTTTTACCTTTTTTAGCAAAGGAAGAAGGAATCATATAATGATATCAATATTTTTTTTACACCTTTCAGTCAACTGTGTGACTGTGAGAAGGCCAAATCAGGTGCAGAAGTCTGCATTTTTTTCCTTTCTCTTTTTTCTTACCAGGGATATTCTATTCTTTATATGTATGTAGATCATTTCTCATACTTTATAGACATGAGAAAATAGGAATGTGCATCTTTAGTTGCTTCTCTCTCGGTAATAATAGCATTTGTGATTTATCAGGGGTATTCTATTCTCTATATGTATGTAGATCATTCTCATGAAGACTATCAAGATGAGAAAATAGAAATATGTGTCTTTAATTACTGACTTTTTATCTTTTTTTGGTAATAATAGTATCCATGATTTTTTCTACACATTTGGTATGTTTCCTTCCTTAAAATATATTGAAATTTGATCCCTCAATGTTTTCAGAAACTGTTCTACCTTCAGCATAGGTTTCATCATTGTGTTCTTGGCCTGGCCCAGTTGCTTTTCCTGATTTCTTCCTAAATGCCATTCCTATTTTTTCATATAGCTCACTTGTTACTGAGGTATCAAGTCTAAGTGTGTGGTTCTGTTTGTCATCAGGGATGAAGAAAGATTCTTTTTTCCATTTTCCAGGTTCATCATAATCTTCTGCCAACCTCCTTTGTAATGCATATTATTGATTTTTACCTTTGTTTTTTTCTAACCAATCCTTTGACTGCTTGTACAGTTAATTTGTAAATGATTTTTATACTGGCAACTAGTTTCCTGCATATGAATGTATAAGTAGTTCCATTGTGTGTGTGTGTGTGTGTGTGTGTGTCTGTCAGTCTGTCTGTCTGTGTGTGTTGGTATACCTTTAGTACCTCTAGTACCTTTAGACTCCTTTCTTAATCTCCCAGTCTTTGGTCATTTTCATTTCTCAATCTCCAATCATATTGACTGGCTCTTCTTTGGCCATTGCCCTCTGTGCTCACCTTGGCAAATCTTGTCAAGTACTTCCTACAGTTTCTCTGCTTATTCATCTTCAGCAGCAGATGTTGGCTCCCTGGCCATCCAGGGATTTGCATTAACTGCAAAGCAAAGAGACCAAGCATTCCATGACATACTTCTTGTTGCTATTGGGCACATGATGAAGCCAGCTCTACCAACTTCCTCATTCACATATCCAGGGAGAACCTTTGAGTCATCATTTTTACCTAGCTGCAACTTTTTAAGGTCTCCTGATTTCATTTTTTGTGAGAATATTAACATGGACACAGTCCATTTCCTCCAGTGGTATATCAACTTGGCAGTCATGGGACAAAGATGTCACAGTCAGAGTACCAACATTTTAGTTAATATTTACAACTGATCTAAAACCTGTTGTGATTCTTATCTCCTCCTACCCCCTTTACGGCTTCTCTGCTACCATTATGGTGGAAACAGATGGAAGGCACAGGAATAAGGAGCATTTTATATTTTTTATGTATTTCATGGGTCACCATGGCCCAACTAAAATCCTATTTTCTATAGGAAGTTTTCTCCAACCTCTCTTAATTCCAGTGCCTTTCCTCTGTTAATTTCATGTTTGTCTTGTATGTATATATTGCTTGCTTTGTATATATTTGTTTGCATGTTGTCTCCCCTGTTAGACTGTAAGGTCCTTGAGGGCAGTGATCCATCTTTTGCTGCCTTTTGTATCCCCAATGCTTAGCATGGTGCCTGGAACATAGTAGGTGCTTAATGTTTATTGATTGATTTGCCCAAGAATTTTCCTTCTGGTGATCAGCCTGCTAGTGTTGAATCCTGTCCTACTTAGTGAGGTTCTTTTAAGTCTGTGTGGGCATAATATATTGCTGGAAGCTTGCACTTTGTTGACAAAGCCCTTGAGAACTCCGAATCACTTCCATGATGCAATGAAACATTGGAGCAGGACTTTAGTGGAGAGAAGTGCTCAAAATATAATTTTTTATTATCATTGTCTTTTTTGGAATAGAGACTTGGCCCTGTGTTTTCACTGATACGGGGGATTCTCATGTAAGAGGACTTCCTACCAATGCAGTAGTGTAAGCTGATACCTTCTCTATTGAAGCTTTATAATCTCAGAGTTACTGGAACACTGAGAGATTAAGACACTTGCCCAGGGTCACATAGCCCTCATGGTGTATGTCAGAGGCAGGATGTGAACCCAGATCTTCTTGGCTCAGACAGCTCTCTACTCATAATGCTTTGCTGTCTCTTCCATCCCCATTTTGAAGTCAAAAGCTCACCGAAGATCACAGAACTAATGAGGGGCAGAGTCTGGGGTTTGGAGTCTGGTCTGTTCTAAGTCCATGGCTCAGATCAAATTGTGAGGGACTCTACCATACACATGCCTCTCCTCCTGCCCTTTCCATGTGCACATTTGTATCTGAGTGACAGCAGGTTAAAGTATATCTAAGGCAACTTTGACAACACGAAGAGAGCAGAATGGACAACCTTGGTGGGAAGGATATTGAAGGATAGGACCTTCACACTTGGCTCTGCCTTGGCTATGGTAGGAGGCTTTTCTTCCCATCCAGCATCCCTGCCTGACTCATGGGACCAAAGCTTGGGTCCTAAAGGGCATCCCCTCTTGATTTTTGGTACTTAAGGGGTGGCTGGATCTTCTTGGAGCTCCAGTGATAGAGGGTAGAGGAAGGTCTTGGACAGCAAGTGGATGAGAGAGGAGTGGTTGAACACCAACCAGCCATTATTAGAAAGTAGAACTTTGGGGCATATATAGAGACATGCACTTCATGATGTGAATCCCCTTGGCCTTGCCCTCAGTGAATGAATCTCTCTCTTCTCTGCTTCAAATTCTTTCAGCCATTCAGTTCGTCAGCATTATTTCCTTCCTGGTCGTTCTTTTCATTATGTACGCCATCCCCCTAGGGATACGTTCTCCCTGTCTCCAAGAAAACAAGACCCTGGGACCCAAACCAACTTTCATTGGGCACAGAGGCGCACCAAAGGTAGGTCTGAATGTATGGGGTAGATGTTAGGGGTAGGATAGTAAGAGGGCAGCCAGGGACCACAGACTGCCATAGCTGGGACCTTAAGGATCTTTGATTCATAGGTTTCATAGGATTTAGAGCTGGAAAGAACCTTAGGACTCACTGAACCCAACCCCTAACTCAGTTAGTTAGGAGGCAGAGTTGTGGGCTCCAAGTCAGAAAACTTGTGACCTTATATCTAAGGGCCTCACTTTCCTCATCTGTAAAATCTCACAGGGTTGCTGTGAAAATCAAGTGAGATGATGGAGGTCATGGGTGGCAGAAACAGAAGGACTTGCTCCCCCCACTCCAAAAGCTTGACTCAAAGGGCAGATCTTTTAACTTAACTCAGATTTACTTGGGAATGTGTGGGAGATACATACAGCCTCTGCCCAACTTCCAGTCTTCCTAGAAGGCATTTTTTTTGAGCAATAGCAATAAAGCAAGTTTAAAATAATTCACTTAATTCAAGGATCTATGATTTCACCAAGTGTGTACTCCTTCCAGACTGATCCTGACCCACCTTTGCTTTAGGAGACTGCCTTCATGAGTTGATATGGCTGGAAAAAAGTCCTAACTAACCTGGTGGTCATCTCTCTTTGAACTTAGCCAGCATGTTCCCTTGAATGACTAATACAGTCCTTTACTGGTCCCTACTTGGGGTCTTTTCAGCTTGGTAGGATGTGGTGGAGCTTGTGCCTCAAGAAACAGGGTCCTCTCCACACTATGATAAAGAATTAGAGGAATACATCAGTGGAAGAGGGCAGATATAGCACAGATTGATAATTAAAAGGCATTGAATCAAAATGTTTCCCAATAGTTCTGAAGAGGGGAAGAAAAGAGTAACTCTCTTCATAGATGTGGCTGCACAGGGACTTCTCTGCTGAATCCAAATTTTAAAAGAACACGTTAAAATAGGATTGAGAGCATGTAATCCTGGAAGAATAAAAAAGCTGGCATAGTCCTGTAAGGATGGCTAACTCCTAAGTGTGAAAAATTATAACAATAATGGAACAATCTTTTTTGTTGTTTTTTTATGTATAAGAAGAACTAAGAATGGATACACTTGGGGTGAATAGGACATTAAAAAAAAATAGAAAGAAAGTAAAACTACCCAGTTCCTATTTTGCTTCTTTTTTCTCTGTTAAGGGAAATCATCCTCGGACCGAAAAGGATAGTAAAGAAAATAAGGCCAAAGGGAACTGAGCCTCAGGTTAAGGTGAGATCAGGGTATGAAGAGCACCTTGCTGTACTCATTGAGTCCACAGAATTCAGAAAGGACCACATGGTCTTCTGGCCCAACCCATACCTCCTTGGTTCAAGTCACCTCATCTAGATGAACTACATTTCCCGAGAAGCTTATGTATGTGATTGCTGAAACACTGTCCATGGCCTTTGAGAAATCCTGGTGAACCAGAGAGAAGCTACAGCAATGGTGCTGTGTAAAGGTCATTCAGATTCGTTTCAGAGTTGAGTTCTTTTCACTTTGGGCTGGTGAATTTGATATCCATCTCTGGCAAAAGCAGTTTGTTTGTAAGCCCATAGACAAGGAAATGGTGATTCCTAGGAGCCATCATGGGTTCCTACAGAACAAATCACATCAGCCGTGTGGCATCTCCTTTATTGACAAGGTTACTAGATTAGTAGCTCAAGGAAATGCCATAGATTTTAGACCCCTGTTGCTGGAAGTACCCCAGAGAAGATGCTATAAAGGAAGATATAGCACTAGGTGAGGATTAGACAAGATAATTTGCCTGATAAGGACCCTTCTAACTTCAAGATTTTTGGAACTATGACTGAGAATGAATTTAGCTTCAAAGATTTTTAAAAGAATTTTGTGATACCCTTTGAGATAAGGGTCTTCACCTCTAGGTAGGAGCCTCAGTCTTATAAAATGATACGGTAGGATAGATGATCTCTAAGGACCTTCCCAACTCTAATATTCTTTACTTGAAAATGGAGGTATCATTAGGAACCACTATCTATCTTAGTGATACATACATAGTAGATTGAACGTGTTGCTGAAATATTTGTTAAATTATTGAGGAACAAAAGATAGAAATATCAAAGGAATTGATGAAAAAAGAAAGGGAAGAAAGGGACCTAGCAGTACCTGATCTCAGACTTTTCCACAAAGCTGTAATTGTCAAAAACAATTTAGTACTGGATTAGAAATAGAGATTGAGAAGGCAGAGCCAAGATGGCAGAGTAAAAGCAGTGATTTGCTTGAGCTCTCCCCCAAACCCTTTCAAATACCTGTAGAAAATGACTCTAAACAAATTCTAGAGCAGCAGGACCCACAAAAGACAGAGTGAAACAAATTTATAGCCAAAGACAATCTGTATGTTTAATGGGAAAAGTATATTGCGCTGGACTGGGAGAGGAGCTCAGTTCAGTATGGGCAAAGATGGGGCCCCAGTGAACCTGAAACAGGTCTCAGGGGACTGAGTCACTGGCAGCTGTAGTGGTTTCCAGACTTCTCAACCAAGAAACTCCAAAGACAGCTTAGAAGGTCAGTTGGAAAGGTCTGTCGGGCCTGAGTGAGAGATGAGTGTGGTCCAGCCCCAGCGCTGGCATAGCCCTGGGGCAGTGGTGGCAGTGGCTGCTTCCAGAGCTCTTGGCCCACAGATGGTGGGGAGATCAAGTAGCTGATCACAGGGGGATTGCAGGGGTCTCTTTGCTGGTGCTGAGGCAGAAATTCTCTTGCTTTGCCCATGCTTGGATCTGGGTCATAATCCTGGGTGGTGGTCTTGGGGCAAGGAGGAGCGCTGGAGTAGCAGAACTTGTGGCAGTGGTGGAGAAGGAATCCTCCTCACAGTTCCAAGGCAGAAAAGAGTGCTTGTGGTCACTCATAGACCAGAGCACAGACCAGGAAAAGAGTAAACACCTCATCCTTTATCGTACCACCTTGGAAGAACTGAAAGTTTACAGGTCTCTAGAAGTATCTCTGAAAACAGCTGCACAAAACCCCTGAAGCTTGGGAAAATACTCCCTCCACACCAGAAGTAGAGACCTACCTTAACAAAGAGTTAAAAACTCAAGTAATTAGCTGGGAACATGAGCAAACAGGACAAAAAACTAGACTATAGAATCTTACTTTTGTGACGAAGAAAATCAAAACATACAACCAGAAGAAGACAACAAAGTCAAAGCTCCTATATCCAAAGCCTCCAAGAAAAATATGAATCAGTCCCAGGCCATGGAAGAGCTCAAAAAGGATTTTGAAAAGCAAGTAAGAGAAGTAGAGGAAAAATTGGGAAGAGAAATGAGTGATGCAATAAAATCATGAAAAATAAGCCAACAACTTGCTAAAGGAAACCCAAAAAATACTGAAGAAAATAACGCCTTAAAAATAGATTAACCCAAATGGCAAAAGAGGTCCAAAAAGCCAATAAAGAGAAGAATGCCTTAAAAAGCAGAATTGGCCAAATGGAAAAGGAAGTCCAAAAGCTCCCTGAAGAAAATAATTCCTTAAAAATTAGATTGGAGCAAATGGAAGCTAATGACTTTATGAGAAATCAAGACATTGTAAAACAAAACCAAAAGAATGAAAAAATAGAAGATGATGTGAAATATCTCATTGGAAAAACCACTGACCTGAAAAATAGATCTAGGAGAAATAATTTAAAAATTATTGGATGACCTGAAAGCCATGATCAAAATAGACCATAGACATCATCTTTCAAGAAATTATCAAGGAAAACTGCCTTGATATTCTAGAACTAGAGGGTAAAATAGAAATAGAAAGAATCCACTAATCACCTCATAAAAGAGATCCCCAAAGGAAAACTCCTAGGAATATTATAGCCAAATTCCAGAGTTCCCAGGTCAAGGAGAAAATATTGCAAGCAGCCAGAAAGAAACAATTCAAGTACTGTGGAAACACAATCATGATAACACAAGATTTAGCAGTTTCTACATTAAGGAATTGGAGGGCTTGGAGGATAATATTCCAAAGGTCAAAGGAGATAGGATTACAACCAAGAATCACCTACCTAGCAAAACTGAGTATAATCCTTCAGGGGCAAAAATGGACATTCAGTGAAATAGAGGACTTTCAAGCATTCTTGATAAAAAGATCAGAACTGAATAGAAAATTTGACTTTCAAATACAGGACTTCAAGAGAAGCATGAAAAGGTAAACAGGAAAGAGAAATCATAAAGGATTTATTAAAGTTGAACTACTTACATTCCTATGTGGAAAGACGATATTTTTAACTCATGAGACCTTTGTCAGTATTAGGGCAGTTGGAGGGAAAAATTATATGTATGTATGTATGTGTGTGTGTGTGTGTGTGTATATATATATATATATATATACACATATACATATACATACATACAGATAGATACAGATAGAGGGCACAGGGTGAGTTGAATGTGAAGGGATGATATCTAAAAAATAAAATCAAGGGGTGAGAGAGGATTATCTCACATAAAAGAGTCAAGAAAAAACTTTTGCCGTGAAGGGGAAGAGGGGAGAGGTGAGAGGGAGAGAATGAATCCTATTCTCATCATATTTGGCTGAAGGAGGGAATAATGTACACACTCAGTTGGATATGGAAATCTATCTTACCCTACAGGAAAATAGGGGGGAAGGGGATAAGAGAAGGGATGATAGAAGAGAGAGCATATTGGGGTAGAGGCTAATCAGAAATAAACACTTTTGAGGAGGGACAGGGTCAAAGGAGAGAAAAGAATAAATGGAGGGTGGGATAGGATGGAAGGAAATATAGTCTTTCACAACATGACTATTATGGAATTGTTTTGCATGACTACACGTGTATAACCTACATCAAATTACTTGCCTTCTTAATGAGAGTGAGTGGAGAGGGAGGAAAGGAGAGAATTTGGAACTCAAAGTTTTAAAAACAAATGTTAAAAATTGTTTTTATGTGCAACTGGGAAATAAAATATATATGGAATGGGGTATAGAAATTTATCCTGCCCTACAAGAAAATAGAAGGGGAAGGAGATAAGAGAAGGGGAGGTGATAGAAGGGATGGCAGGTTGGGGGAAGGGACATTCAGAATGTATGCTGTCTTGAGGTAGGGGGAGGGGAGAGATGGGGAGAAAATTTGGCACTCAAAATCTTGTGGATATGCATGTTGAAAATTAAGAATTAATTAATGAAAAGAAATAAAGGTTGATCAGTGGAACATACTTGATATGCGATGTGTAGAAGCAAATGAACCTAGTAGCCTAGTTTTTGAGAAACCCAAAAGAGTTCCCAACTATTGGGGCAAAAACTGACCATTGGACAAAAACTATTGAGAAAACTGGAAAATATGGTATAGACCAACATCTGACACTGTATATACCAGAATAAGTTCCAAATGGGTGTATTATTGAGACATAAAAGGTGACATTATAAGCATATTAGAGGAACGTGGAAAAATTGCCTGTCAGCTCTCCAGATAAGGACCAAAGGTTCATGGCCAAACAAGAGGCAGAGAGGTTCACAAGAGGTAAAATGGTTCAGATTATGTCAAATTAAAAAGATTCTCCCACAAACAAAACCAATGAAACCAAAATTAGAAAAAAAGTAAGAAACTGCTTTCTTGTTCGTTCAAGTGTTTAAGCAAAGATCACATAGTTAAATCGAGGTGATTTGCTCCCAGTCCTGCATTATCATGACCAGGAAGTAGCAGAGTCGGCACCTGAGCTCCTATTTCCTGATTTGAAGCCTCATGCCCATTTCATTTCCCCATGCTAGCCGCTTGAATGCCTTCAGAGATGAGCTTATAATATCATAAGCCAATTCATTGAGGCAGCTAGGTGGTTCAGTGGACAGAATGCCAGGACTGGAGTTAGGATAGAATTGAGTTCAAATCCTGCCTCTGATACTTCCTAGCTGTATGATTCTGAGCAAGTCAATTCACCTCTGTCTACCTCAGTTTCCTCAACTATAAAATGGGGATAATTATAGCACCTACCTCCCAGGATTGTTGTGTGGATCCAATGAGATAATACTTGTAAGGTGCTTAGCATAATGTGTGGCACACAGTAGGTGATATATAAATGTTTATTCCTTTTCCTCTTTTCTCCCTCCCTCCCATTCTTGGTAGGTTCTAGTTGCTAGAATAGTCTTCCTCACATGGAATGAAAATTTATTGGTTGATTGTGGTCGGCTCTAAGTAGAAGAGAGGGTTACCCTAAATAAATCAAATCCATGAATCCAAGCCTTTCAATTTTTATTTTAAAGAATATCAGAGCTATTGAAATGGCTCTATTGACCAACTGGACTTTGGCCTCCTCAGTACCTACCTGGGCCTGTGTTGGAACCTTGAAGAAAGCTCACTGACCTGTGCTTCCTTCACAACCTCTGTTTGACAGCTGGAGGGAGAGGCAGTGTGCCAAAATGAGCATTGTATTTGAAGTCAGAAGACCTGGTGTGAATTCTAGCTCTGCTACTTGCTACTTTTATAACCTTGGACTAGCCACTTAACTTATCTGGGCCTCAGTTTCCTCTTCTATAAAATTCAGGGGTTGAAAGGTACTTCTAGCTCTAGAGCCCATGCACAAGGCCTTTATATAATTGGCAATAATCGACAATAAGTGTTTACTGGGGATACACAAACAAGCAAAAGACAGTCCCTGCCCTCAAGGACCTTACAATCTAATGGTGGTGGTGGCAGTGGAAAGATGTTAGAGGTAAACAAGCCCAGCATTTTCTAGGCTAGAACTGGAATCCTTTGTTCCTCAAGATACAAAAGAGGTTCAGTAAGAAAAACTTCTCTTTTAGAGCCCGTTGGTCACCGAAGCCACAGCCAATATGAAGTGATGTTCTTGAGATGGGGATTTGTGAGGAGAGAGTCCACTACTTAGTAGCATTTCCAGTTGTCGGGGGGAGTGGAGAATCCCAAGAAGTGTAATGTAGTGGAAATAGCCCAGGACTTGGAGGCAGAGAACTTGGGTTTGAATGCTTGAACAAATCACTTCAGTCTAAGTAAGTGCGCCATGCTATGGTTTCCTTGAATGACACAGTCTCAAGATTTGGAAGAAACCTGAGAATTCATCTAACCTGTACCCGAAGAGCAACTTCTACAGTGAACCCAACAAGTAGCCAATCAGTCTTCTCTTGTAGGCGTTCAGTGCTGACGAACCCACCAGCCCCGAGGTAGCCTGACAGCTGATTGTCCAGAAGTCTGTATAATCTTAAAAGCCTCTCTCGGAACCCTCTGAAATCTCTTTTCTCTAAATCTAGGTTATGTGACAAATGGTCTAGCCTTCTTCTCCTCTGCTACAGAGTCTAAGGCGGAGTGATCACTTTCCCCCAAGGTTTATCATTTCTGCAACAGTTCCTTCTTGTTTGTAAGCATCTGGTCAAGAGAAGCGTTTTCCTTCATTTCCCCCTCTGCTTTTTGAAGGATGAGGTTATCATCAAAGCAAGTCAGGAAATTCTTAGCTGCTGCTCTGCTTTTGCCAGAGAGAGAAAAACAACAGATGTCAAGAAAATTAAATCTCTTATTATATCAGGCTTAATGATTCCAGACACTATCTACTTCATCCTTCCATCCAGGTGGTCAGTAGTATTAATTTAGTGATAATATTGCTTCTATTTCTACCTCTTGAGTCAGTTTCCTGCCTCTAGAGTGAGAAATACTCGAGTTCAAATTCTGCTTCAGACACTTATTAGCTGTGTTACTCTGGACAAGTCACTTCACCTCTGTCTGCCTCAGTTTCCTCAGCTGTAAAATGGAGATAATAATAGCATCTACCTCCCAGGGTTGTTGTGAGAATCGTCTGGCACATAGTAGGTACTGTATATAAACGTTAGCTACATTAGGATCTCTGCTTTTCCTTCCTTGTTACCCATGCTTTTTTCCTATTTACGTATCTCAGGCCTTGGATACTATTCTTGACTTTTGCCTTCTGTAGATTATTGGGGATGAGGAGAGAGAGATGTCTGATTGCTATTATTCTTTGTACATTGTAGGTACTTGCTTTTTTTTAAACGATAATTTGTTTTTCTACTAAGCATTTGTTTTTTTTCCTCCTTAATCTTCCAATTTAAAAGAAAAACATCCTTGTAATCAATAACCCATATGCATAGTCAAACAAAAGACATTCCCACATTGCCCATGGCCAAGGATGTATGTCTTACTCGGTATCTTGAATCCGTCATCTGTGTCAGAGGGTGGGTTACGCAGATCATCTTTAGTCTTCTGGGGTCTTGGTTGGTCACTGTATTGAAAGTAGCCATTGCAGCTATTTTCAAGGGGACATAGCTTGTTAGATAGACATAGTATTTGTTCTCTCTGTTTCATTTTGTTTTTAAAGCCCCTTTGATTAGATTTGCAGTACTCTAGGTAAGTACCTTTTTACCCTTAGGTGAATTCCATTTTTGACCAGAAGCCTATCCTTCTTATATTTTAAAACATGGTCCACAAATTGAAAATCAACATTGTCTTCTTAGCGACCTTCCCAAATCTACTCTTTTCTTTTGATTGGCAGCAGTAAGAAAAATACAACCTTTCCCCCTTGGATCTTCTGGTTTCCTGCTCCAACCTTCATAATCTTCCTGCTGCTTTCTGGATTCCTTCTGACAGTATTAATTGTGCTCTGAGTCATTGGAAGAGTTAGGTAGCCATCACAGAGGCAAGTCTTGGGAGGATCTCTATTACCTCTTCTGTATATGCAAATGAACCTCTGTTACTAATACCAAATTGACAAATAGTTGCCTCAGCAATGGAATCATCCCAATTCCTCCCCTCCACACCCAAGTAACGACTAGAATTTTGGTGTTCTATTAGTATATCTCACCTGAGTATAGTGTCCTGTGGCCAAATTATTCTGGGAAATTATCATCTAGTCTGATCCCTTTAAAGAAGAGAAAACTTCAGAAAGGATAAGTGATTTGTTCATAATCACATAGTTCTGGCAAATCCAGGACTAGAAAGAGGTCTCTTGGCCACCAGTCTGATACTCTTTCCACTGCCTCAGATGACCTCAGATGTTCTTGAAAGTAGATTGAACAAAGGAACCTGGTAAGTGTTGGAAAGGTTAGACTAAAGCCATTTTGTTGGGCAATGCCAGGGCAGCAAGGAGAGGCCATGAGCAGATGGCAGGCTATGTGATCTCCTCTTCCTGCTGTCTCCTCTGTTTTTATTGGGAGACAGTCATCCTTCCCTTACTCTTATGGATGGTAAAAGAGAAGAATTGCAACTCATTCCAATCTCCTGTTCCTTTTCATTAGCTAGCACCAGAGAATACCCAGATGGCCTTTGAGAAAGCTATTGAACATGGTGCCACAGGGCTGGAGACTGATGTCACCCTCAGGTAAGAAGGGAGGCAAGACATTTTGTCAGGCCAACGCACACATGTCACAACCTCTTCCCCCCATGCAGGCACTACCTAGCCCTCTTTCACAAGAGCACAATATCTTCCGCTCCACTAAGGAACTCCCCCACCACCACCACTAACACAGACATAAACACATGCCACACAATTTCCTCCAATGTAGGCAGAATACTTTTCCCCCCGAAATATACACAAATAAACTTTACAAAAAAGTAATCCAGCCACCCTCTCCATACATAAACACCTTGCCTCCACACCAAATAAACTCCCCTGCCATACTACATTCCCACACATACACACAACACATACACTATATACTCTACAAACATGTACAGTCCCCCACCAACCTTCTCCCCCACACACAATTCAACTTCTCTGTGCACAGTTGTGATGACCCAGAATGATCACAACCGCATGCCTTCAGCATTACCATTTCCCAGATCCTTTGACATCTTAGGTGATGACCTGGCATATAAGATTTCCAGAGGGAACACACACCCTCAGGCACATATAGAAAGACACCCAGAAAGTAATGTCAGAATCTTTGATTAGAACAAGAGGAAGAGGGAGAGGATAGGGTGACACACAGAAGATGATAATAGTGGGATGGACCCTGCAGAAGTGAGACGAGAACTTAGAGAGTAGAGACTAGGACCCGGAATCCAAGGTCAATTGATTTCAAAAATTTGCTGCCAGTAACCTTGGTCAAATATGACAATAGCAACTATCAGCACACCCTCACTGGTCTTTCATTAGCTTGAACAAATATATGCATGGGAACAGTGATAGTCAAGCTCCACATAGGGCACAGGGATCTGTCAATGTAGGCAGTGAGTGTATGAGCAGAGGGAAGAGCCCAGGCTGGCCGGGCCTGTCACATTAATTATGTCCACAGGATAGATAACAATTGGAAGTCAGAGCTTTTCAGGTACTGGTGGTTATCTAAAACGAGCCACATTATTATAGGTAAGGTGAACCAGAGAATAGTGCAGCTTTTCTTGGGGTGAATGAGGATACAAAGTAGTTCTGGCTCATGTGAGTCTATATGGGGCCTTTTGATTTTTTAAAAATAAGTTTATTGGAGTCATTTGTTTTTTTTTTTTAATATCATCATATTTTCGCCCCACTATCCCTCCCCCTCTGCCTCCTGGAGTCACCCCATATAACAAATGATGTTTTTTTAATACAAAAAGAAAAAGAGTTTTAAAAAATCAGTGTAACTGATCGTTACACCAAAAAAGTCTAAAAATATGTGTGCTATACTTTGTAGTTTCTCTATGTGGGTTTCAGACTAGGGAGTTAGTTTTGTTAATATTTTAGGACAGTGGTGAACCCTAGAAAGATTATGTAGGTCTGTCTTTGTAGCTGTTAGGTTATGAGTATATGTATATTGGAATGAGTTATGGTCATGACTTGGATTTTGATGCTACATGGCCCCAGACTCTGTTGGTTAAGCATGAGCTTGGGAGGAGCTTCCATCATTAGAATTCAGTAGCCAGAAGACGAAAATAGCTGACCCTTCTACTTGTCCTCCCTTGGGAAATGCCAATCAATCCTTGCCCTCTGTCTGTCCACAGTTATGATGGTGTTCCTTTCCTCATGCATGACCCCACCCTGAGAAGAACAACCAAAATCCATGAGATCTTGCCAGATTTCTCTGACATTCCTGCTTCTATGTTCACTTGGCAAATCCTGGAAACCCTGAACTCAGGCCAATGGTTCTTCAAGGTAACAGGGCCCGGGTCAGAGTGGGTCAATCTGGAATGATACATGGGCCACACTAATTACAGGATTTTAGAATTGGAAGGGACCTCAGTAGCTATTTAATCTGACCCATTCCCATAAAGGGATCCCTACTATAACCTACCTAACATGTGATTGACCTGCCTCTGCCCTTAAAGTTCATGCCCACTTGGGTGGCTTCACCATTAATGTGACTGTTGGCAGGAGAAGAGAAAAAATAAAGTTGTAGACCTGGAAAGGGAACATAAAATTCATCTAATTTTGTCCAAACTCCTTATTTTATAAATGAGGGAACAGACCCAGAAGGAATAAGAGACTTGTTACTCAGATCTGGAAAGATTTTTAGGAGTGAACTGAGATTTCTTCCTCAAACATCGACTCCTAAAACTTTCACCTGGTTTAAAGGGCCACTTTAGATCAACCCCTGTTTCAAATTACAACCCATGAGCCCCCATCTGATGCTTTTTTTTTTAACCAGGCCACACCACACTGCACATTAACTCAAAGCAAAAGCATTTAATTAAGCAGAATATCAAAGTAGATAACAAAGAAGGAAATTCCTCTCCAACCACCTCAAATAACATAACATGTATAAAGCATTTAGCCCAATGCCTGACACATAGTGGGTACTTAATAAATGTTTGTGCCCTTCCTCCTGCCCTGCCTCCTTCCTTTCCCCTCTATCATAAAAGCAAGATCACACTCTCCCAAAGATTCCCAAACTGCCAGTAGGAGATGAAACACGTAAAGCATGGATAACTCACGCTGTTAGGGCCATAAAGGTCACACAGGCCTAATCAAACAGATTCATTATCTCATGCTTCCTTCAATTAGGATTGAACAACTAAGTTAGAACAAATCAGTAAAGAAACTATGTTTACAGATTTAAACACTCAGTTTGCCGTGTTTTAAAGAAGTTACAATGCAGTAAGTGAGAGAAGGAGATTTAGATGTCATAAATATAACCAAATAGTCAGCATCAGGGGGAATCCTTCTACCATAAAATTTCTAGAAAAGTTTTTTTTTTTTAAGATTTTGTAAATGTTATTATTCCCTTCTTTCTCTCATCTGATTTCTTATCTCAGGAATATCAAAAGTCTCCAGATGAGATTAATGTTTTTTTGTCTAGGCAATGGGGTTAAGTGACTTGCCCAAGGTCACTTACACAGCTAATAAGTGTTATGTGTCTGAGGCCGGATTTGAACTCAGGTCCTCCTGAATCCAGGGCAGGTGCTCTATCCACTGTGCCACCTAGCTGCCCCAAAACATTGGTACTAGATGAGATTAATATTAACAGGAAATAGACTTCAGTTGCCAAATGTTCCAAAAAGAATAGCCCAAAGTCCCAAACCATAAAATCCAATGAAAAGAAATTTTTTTGGACACAGTTTAACTTTATTTTTTACTCACTTAAAATAAAAATTTGCAAAAAACTGAACTTCTTAACTTTTCTGTTTCTGTAGATATTTAAACACAAAATATTTAAAAGTAAAATAAATACAAATAATACAGATGTAAAGACTAGGATCGTTTAGGCATAACAACTTTTGTATAAAGTCAAGTTTAACTCAGTTCTTCCTTCTGTGTGTGATGGGGGTGGGAATTAGCTGTTGGAAAGTTACATTGGGACTCCCTCTGCACTTTTTTTGGCCGGGGGGTGGTAAGGAGGGGGAAGGAAAAAATGAGGAATTTTTCCCATCCTCCTAGTTGGAGTGGTTCTATGCGCAGACTTCTGACCACACAGAAGCTTAGGCTTCATAGAAAAGTTTGGATGCATGGCCCAGTGCACGTAAAGAGAGTATACTGGGGTAGTGCTGGGGTAGTGCTGGGGTAGTGCTGGGGTAGCAAGACAGAGCAATTTTGTCCTGGCGTTCTCTGGCTCCTCTACGGCACCCTGGAGCTGGCCTTTCTAATGTTCTGATTTTGCACAAAGAAAGAGCTTTTCTTGGTTACTGGGAGTACGGCTGTGGCTGAGTGATTATCTGGAGGTAGCCAGGCATAAGCTCAGCTGCCTTGGAAAATTTGGGAAGGGAATAGAGACGCTTCTCTCTGTGGTTTAGGAATACATTGTTATATAGCCCCGAGTTTGGGGGTGGGGGTGGGAGACTCTGAGATTTAGAATCATATTAAGAAATGCCTATGCCAACACTGGGAAAAAAATCCAACACACTTTCTGTTAAAAAGATTTCTGATACAACTTTTCACTGTGATATCTATACCAGGGGATGTAAGCTAAAGAACCAAAGAGCACTGAATAAAATCCTCAGTATCAATCAAAGCACAGTAAGTTTGGTTGATGATAGTTATTTCTCCTCAGCATTGAATATGCCCATAGGAAGTAACAGATGAATTGTCCATAGAAGGCTTTCCACATTCACTGTGTTCATGAAATCTCTCTTCGCTGAGAGTTCCTTTATATTCAATAAGTTGTGGGTTCTGGATAAAAGCATTCTCGTGCTCATTGCATTTATAGGGTTTCTTTCCAAGTATTTATTATTTGATGGGAATTCATGGGTGAGCTGGGTTTGTAGGTGAAGTCTTTCCCGCTTTCTTTGTATTCACATATATTCTCTCCAGGGCATAGTCTATCATATTTGATGTATTCTAATTTGGAGCTCAAAGATTTCTCACTTTTATTACACTTTGGAAGTATTTTCTTTGAACAGATTCTGTTACCTTTATTTAGGTCTGGACATGGACTGAAGTTCTTTTTCTGTGCATCATATGCACAAAGATTCTCTCTCAAAGACACTTTCTGTTATGAAAAAAGGACTGGCCCCACATGGAGATTTCTTCCATACTTACTACATTCAAAGCCTCTCAATTTATTGTGAGTTCTTCTTTTGGTAATTCTGACATTACCAGAATGTGCCTCTTTATTATTCTTCTGCATCTCTATGCTAGCCTCACATTTCTAGACTTTTCTCAAGTAGGAGACATAGGAATCATTTCTTACTGATCTTTTATGGGATGATGATTCCATAGAAATTTCCTGATTTGGAGTTGGTGCCTTGATTTCAGGCCTAGCCTCCCAATCTGGACAGATGCTTTCTGGGACCTCTCTCTTAGACATCCAAGGTGTTTTCCCTCATTCCAACTCCCAATCACATCTGGCTTGGAAACAGCAAGTCCCAGGCAGGCAAGGTTCCCATAGTTCTCCAGCATCACCTCCCTGTAGAGCTCCTTCTGGGAAGGGTCCTGCTGCCCCCATTCCTTCCAGGTGAAGTCAACAGTCACTCCCTGAATGTCACTGATTCCTTATATTTCTGTCTATCTTATTTAATCCTTTCAGTCGCTGAGGCTACATCGTGTCCACTGGAAATGGCTGGGTAACAAAACCAGAGCTGGTATCACGGCATCTGGGGGGTCCTGGCTGCCGGAGCACAAGGGCCATTCCTGCCTCTTGAGGAAGGGCAGAGTGCTTGGAAGGCAGATCTCTGAACAGACCGAGGCCTCTGGGAGAGCTGGATGGTACCGGAAGTGCCCGGCCCTGGAGCCGAAGTCGATGATGTCAGAGCACCTGTCCGAGATCCCGTCGATGATGGTTATTTCTAAAGCACCTAACTATATTCCTCCCAATTTATGACCTCTGGAGAAAAGTTCAAATTCAGGGGAAAAAATGCATTTTACACAGATCAAAGCTTTGTTGCAAGAGGAACAAGGGGATCTATTCTTAATCTCCATTAATTTGTCTTAGGTAATAAATTCAAAGCCATTTTGAGAATGCTCCACATTGTTTATCTAAGCAAAAATAAGTGCTAGAGATGTTAACAAATTTATTGATAAACTCTAGCCCTGGATGGCTAGAGGGAGGTTTTATAAATAGTGTATTCCACAGCCACAAGATTTTTGCTGTTTTAGCTTCTTGAACATACTAAATTTGATATCCCAAATCTAAAATACAGAGCTAAAGAGGTTTCAATTTTGACCTCAACTCTGAATAATGACCACAGTTGAGATACAACAGATATTTTTAACTGGTTTGAGCAATCTCTGAAAAATTTAAAATCCAACTCTAGATTTATTTCCAAACTAACTTTTGAAAGAAGGTACAATAACAAATGTATACACACTATTAAAATACGATAAACATTTCAAGACTTCTACCCTTAGGATTAATTTTCAGAAGGAAGAATTACTAAGTCATTTTTGTTTGTGACCAACAGATTCTTTAAAAACTACAACAAAATATCAATCTACTATGATGTTTTTCTTAACTGTCTTCCCTGCTAGCTAAACATCTGCACTAAACAACCTTCTCCATTTAAAGAAAGCGAAACACCTGCCCCGTCCAAAATTTAATGACATCCATTGCTTGGAATGGTCTTGCCTACTCTTCAGTGCCTGCCTCATCATTTGTTAGATTGCTTTTCATACTTTTCCTAGGGGTTCCTCTTCCTTGGAGAATAGCGAACTCCTCTCCAAAACTGGAAGTTGTGTCTGCACGGATGAGTTCTGTGTTTCTTTGGGTTTTCTTCTTTCTGGTTCTGACTTGGCTCAGGTTCCTTATTGTCCTCCTTCTGCTCTTGGTCTTGCTCCTTCTGAGAGGATAATGTGTTCTTAATTGTATTAAGCAGAAATCTTTTATTTGTACCAGCAAGAGGATATTTTATGGACCCCATAGGTCCCATTGTCTCTGCTTGGATTTTCCTCCTGTTCAGCTTTGCCTTCCACTCCAGTCCCTCATCCTCTTCCATGGTGTGGCCGGCCGAGGGCAGCTTCTAGGTTTCTCAGGTAGCCTGAAAAAAAATTTTTTAAAAATCCTTATAACATTTTATAAAATTCTCAAAATATTGTTATTTACCTACCTCCACCTCACTGTCCCTCCTTTTTCAAAGAGTCAGTCTAACTCAATTTTCCTTTACATCCTAATCCCTGCCCCTATCTTGGTGGCTTCAATACCATGATGTAAGTTGATGTCCCCTTATATAGCCTCTCATCCAAGTTCATTAGACTCTTCAACTTTTTTCCCACAAAATAGATTCCTTATCATTTCCCCAACACCTAACCCTTTTCACATTTTCCTATTTATGTTCCTGGTACCCTGTCCTTCCAGTAACCCTGGTTCACAGCCTTGGAGTTATCCCTAACTTTTCCTTCTCCCTCAATCTCCATATCCTAGTTGACAAGTCTTGTGGATCCTATAACTACAACATCTCTTGCATCTGTCTTCTCTCCATTCATATGATATCTATCCTAGTTTGGACCCTCAGCACTTATTGTCTATATTATAGCAGTAGCCTCCTAATTGTTCTCTCTACTTCTAATCTTCCTCCAATCCATCCTCCACACAGCAGCAAATTGATTATGCTAAAACACCAATCTGGCTGTGTTGCCATCTCTATACCTATATAATGCCTTTTGTGCTCCCAAGAAGTACTACCACTGTCTCCCTCTTGAAATTATTTTTATGACAGTATATTTATTTATGCATCCCCTTGTAGAATGTAAGCTCCTTGAGGGCAAGGACTGTTTCATTTTTGTCTTTGTATGCTCTGCTCACTGCCAAGCACATTGCCTTGCACAACAGTAAGTGCTTAATTAAAGTCTCTGGAATCAATTTTTGTTCCTCCAAATTAGTTTTGCTATTGTTTTGTCTGGCATTTGGCAGTTTAATTATAATAGCATTAAGTCTAACTTTTTTTTTTCTGGAAGTGACCAGTGGGTTCTATTAATTACCACTTTGTTTTCTTTGTTCAGAAATTTGGAGAAGTTACTGCATTATGTTGGTCGGCCATTTTTTTGGGTGTGTTCCTTTGGTAGATGTGTAATTCTTAGGGTGTCTCTATGTATCCTGTCTTTGAGATCAATATGTTTTGCTCGTATGGAGATCATGTTTTCTTTCAACATTATTACTTCTTGCTTTTCTTTTTTCCAGATTATCCTTCTCTTATATGTATTTGTATTCCCAGTCAGTGATTCTGTCATTTGTTTCTTGAGTGGGACTTGCTATCATGAATTCAAGTTTTTCCATTCTGATTATTTCTGCTGTGCAGGCCTTAACTGATGCATTCATAGTTATTATTTCTCTTCTAAACCAGCCAGGAACATTCTGTTGTTGTATGCTCTCTTTAGGATCCACAAGTTTTCTTCCTCCTCAGGTGATGATTCATGTCCCTTTGTCTTACAATATTTCTTCAGAGATGTCTGGACATATTCAGGAGGCCATATTTCCTTCTGTTATTGATACCTTCCCTGTTGGTTTATCTGCTTATGCTTACGGTCTTTAACGGAGTTTTCTTCTTTTTAAGACCTTTGGTAATGTCAATTTTTTTCTTCTTATAGTCCTTTATTGCTCACTTTCTGATTCCTTACCCTCTAATTATAATTTTCCTGGGGTTTGAACCTCAAATCCATTTAGCATCCTCCCTGCCTTTATTGAGAGGTTCATAATTTCACAGCCTCAATTTCTTCCCCAAGTGACTTTTGGAAGGACAGAACTAACCCTAACTGGATGCTGGACTCTTTCCTTCAGGCTTAATAGAGTGCCACACAGTTGCATACATGTACTGTCCCAGTTCCTTGTGTTTTTCATTTCTTTGGCTAAGCTCTTTTAAGTCATCAAATAACATCCTTGCTTTATCCCTATACTTTTGAGGAAAATTTTCAGTGCTTCCCCATTGAAAACAATGTTATCTTGTGATTTTGGCTACGTAATTTTGAACCTATTAAAAATGGGCCCTTCCATTCTAATGTTTTTAGGGTGATTTTTAAAAAACCCCTTAAGTTAATGCCATATTTTGTTAGATTTTTTCTATATCTATTTATATTTACATGATTAATTATAGTAGTTGCTTTCCTACTGTTGGAATACTATTGCATCCATGGTACAAAAATCCACCTTGGTCAAAGTGAATAATTTTGTGGATAGATTAATATAATCTCTTTTCTAAGATTTAATTAAAATTTTTTGCATTGCTATTCATTAGTGACTTTTATAGGGCAGGTTTTTATATAGTAATATATAGTATTATATATAGGTATATAGTAATCTTTTCCCACATTATCTTGTATTAGTTTGAATTCAAGACTATATCTCAAAAAAGGAACTTTGCACAATGTACAATTTAGTTATTGAAATTTTTGTAGCAAAGATGTAAATTGCTATTTGAGTATTTGATAAACTTCACTTGTAAATTCACTTGGAACAGGACTTTTTCCTTTGATGATTAATTTATTTCTTGCTTGATTTCTCTTTCTAAAATTTTGTTTTTTAATATCTAATTCTTATTTTGTTCATCAGAATATTTTATATTTTTTGTAGATAATTATCCATTTTCTTTAAATTTTCAGTTTTCTGGTATTTAATTAGAGATAGTTTTTGGATGATACTTTTTATTTCCTTTCTGCTCAATGTAAATTCAACTTACTTATTTTTATTTTGGGTAATTCAGTTTTCTTTTATAGTTATTTAATGACTTACTGATTTTATTGGTCTCTTAAAAACAGCTCTTAGTTTTATTTATCAGTTCATACTTTTTCTTCCATTCTCTTATAATTTTTAAGATTTCTTCTGTACTTGTTTAGCTTTTAGTAATTTGTTTGTTTTCTAATTACTTAACTTCCATGATCACGTCCTCAAATCCTATGACCAATGACCAAAAGTTGTAGAGGGAGAGTTAGGCTCAGTGTAATAAAAAAACACAAACAACTTTCTAACAACGCACTGTCCAGACATGGGATGGGCTTACTTTGGAGGCAGGGAGTTGTTCATCAGTGACTAGAAGTGTTGGAGTAGTTTGGAGGAACACTTGGCCAATAGTCTCTAGTGTTGAAGATTCCTGCTCAGGCATGAATCGGACAAGATGGCCCCTGAGCCCTCTTCCGGCCCTGATTCTGTGATTTTGTAAAGAACAGAAGAGCAGAAAGGTCGCCATAAGGAGATTTATTCTGCTTTGTATGTGAACAACACATAGCATGGGAAGCTGGGAAATGTTTGTCGTTGCTACTGTGTATGTCTATACCAATTTGTTTACTGCTATTATTGCTTAATTCTAGGCTAAGCCATTTAAATTCATGGCACCACTGACAAAAGAAGATGAAGAGATGGCAAAGAATCAGTCAATTATGAAACTAAGCAGTTTCTTGAGACTTGCAAACAAGGAAAATAAACTGGTGATATTTGATCTCTACCGTCCCCCAAAGAAACATCCTTACAGAAATACGTGGATCATGAAAGTGTTAGAAGTGATGATCAATGAAGTTGGGATTAAAAGCCAGCTGGTAGGTCTGTCAGTTAATCAATGGTTTTTTTTAAAGTGCCTACTGTGTGCCACACATAGTGCTAAGTGCTAGGTTAAGAGGAAGGGGAAGGGAGAAAAAAGAATGAGAAATTTATCGTGTGGTCCTAGTGTCCATCAATCTCCCTTGTTTGTGACTGTTACTTTCTGAAGACTGCAGCCATTGGACTCAAATATGCATGATGGTGGGCCAGCTGAGGATCAACTAGAGTAGTGTGGAAAAAGTACTGTGCTTGGTATGGGAAGACATTTATTCAATTTCTGATTCTGCCATTTACCACCCTGTAACTTCAGCAAATCATTTAATAGAGATTAATTGGGCCCTGATTTTTTTTAATCTGGAAAATAGGGATAATAATATTTTGTAGGAATTTGTAAATTATAGAGTACTGTAGAAATGTTAGCTATTCCTTACATGTTTCTTTATTTTTGAGTGGTCATTTTCTTAATAGGAATATCTATTTGCAAATTAACTAAGCCTGAATTGGTAATATTAGCCAAATTTTACTTGGAACCAAGTGAAACATCAGCCCTTTTTTAAGAGAAGCATAAGTATTCTAGCTATAGTTATTTCTTTGCCATTTGCCCATTTCATGCTCATGGATCCCACTACTTACACTGAACTCATAGGATTTAGAGCTAAAAGGGACTTTAGACTTTAAATCTCTTCCAATTCCCTCGTTTTATAAATGGGGAAACAGAGCTAGAGGGGGGAATGGCTTGCCTAAAGTCACAGAATAATTAAGTAGCCCAACACTAATCTCTCATGAAGATATTGGGCGGCATTGACTAGCCTCCAGCATAGGAGCCTCACTTATAGGGGGTACCAGGCTCACGGTGTGGATAGCTGAAAGAACAATATTCTTGAGGAACTTTATTCTGGAAAAACTGCAAGGAGACTTCCTGGAAGAGCTTCCCTGGTGAATGTTAGATTGATGCTCCAGAGCTGTTGCTGGATTCTCTTTTTCTTCCTTTAATACTGTCAAGCTTCACAGAGATGGAGTCAGTTCCAAATGGAGCTTGGAAATGTGCCAGGGTGGGGTGAGGGAGTGGGGGAGCAGGGAGGTTTGGTTCAATTAAGAAAAAGGAAGACTAAGGCAGGGAGGGGTAGTGTGGAATGGAAGAGAAATTATACTTGTGCTTATTAGACACTGAGGGCATAGCTAGAGGCAACTGGTGAAAGATGCTGAGGGGGCAGATTTGGACTTGATGTAGGGAGAAAACTTCCTAACAAAGATGTCTGCAAGTGGAATTAATGGGTACCTTATAAGGTAGTGAGCTCACTGTAACTGGAGTTCTCTAAAGTAAAAGTGAAATGATCGCCTGTTGGGGATGTCACAGAGGGGATCCCTCTTCAGGCATGGGTTAGATTAGATGCTCTTTGAAATTCCTTCTGACTCTTTGAGGCCTGGTTTAGGGACTCCATTCCCTCTCCAGACCATCCCCTTTGTTTGGTGTGTGTTTAGTCTGGCTCTGCCAGTCACCACCGTGTGACATTAGGCAACCTCACCTGACTTGTCCAGGCTGCAGTTCCTTCATCAAGGAAGAGAAGGGTTAGACTAGACTGTTCTAGGTTTTCTTCTAACTCTAGAACCTGTGACTCCTTAGAATTTCTCATCTGTCAAATGAGAATTCTAAGACCCAATTTTTTTTTTTGGCATTGCTGTGAGGGTCAAATGTGTTAGCATGTGCTAGTATTGGCCCTTCTGAATCATAAAGTGCCTTCTAATGGTATAGTCATCTCCTGCCAGTGACCTGAGAGCTAGCCTCTTTACTTTTTACAGGTCCTTTGGTTGCCAGGGCAGTACAGGTCAGATGTCTGAATGTTAGCTCCACGTTTCAGACAAGTGCTGGGAAAGAAGTTGCCTCTTCCTGACCTCTTGAGAATGGGAATTAGAGGATTGAACCTTGCTTACAAGGACATAAACAGCAAGGATATCAAGTAGGTGATTCCCCAAAAGGGGATGGAAACACCCCTATCCCTTCCTACCACGAACCTTTCTTATATCTTATTCCTCTACACAAGAGGGTTTAATCTGGGGGTCCATGAACTTGGATTTTTTTTCATTATTAACATAGTGATAATTGTATTTCACTATAATTTGTTTCCTTTAGATTCATATATATTTTATATGTATTTTATCCTGATGAGCCCCTAAGCATCAGCCAGATTGCCATAGGGGTCCATGATACAAGAAAGAACCTCTGCTCTACCCAGACCCTTCACTCCAGTCAAGTTACTGTGTTCTCACTTCCATCTGTCTATGCATGCAAGGATTTAGTCCTTTTATTACCCTTTTCTTCCCTTACATATCCATTGATCCATCCCTCAGCTTCTTCCAGGAAGCCTTCATTGATTACCCAATCAATCCTCTGATAATTTGAGATATTGCCTCTCATTTGGCTTAATTTTGTCTCTGATGTTGATTATTTTATAGGCTTAGTTTTCTAAGGCTAAGACTCAAAAAGCTATTAATTTCTTCTATGAACTTCTCTTGAGAGAAATGATTATTAATAACCAATGACTTGGGGAGATTCAAATTTTCCTCTTTTTCTTTTATCCTCATTTCAAGACCTCAGTCTCTGAAGGCTGAGCTAACCTTCTACTCTATCCAGACCCCACCAAGGTGGGGAAGCCATTGTCTTCTACAAAGCTTTGGATACGGATAAATTCTTTGAATAGTTTGCCCAAGGCTGGAGGTAACTTAGAAGTAAATGACATAATCAAGTTCATTTGAATAGATTCAGCCCCTCATTGTAATATTAATTTTCTCATTAATTCTTAACCAATCAGAGTTGATTACCATCCTCAGGAACAATTCTATCCCAGTGGGCCTATAAGCCATGAGGCCTCCGTCATGATTGTCTTTGGTCTAAGTGAGAGATGGCCAAATGACTATTCTTTTATTAAAATGCTGGCATTATTAATAAAATGATTAAATTGCCCAGAAATTATGTCTCTTGAACCTTTCTAAATTCCACATCTTGCATGGGCCCACCAGCTGGTGCCTCAGTCATGATCCTGTGGTTCAAATAGGCAAATTTGAGGAATAATTGGAAGGAGAACTTTATTATTCTTTTCTAATGGAAATAAAAGCAGAATTTATTGACTCATTTCAGTAGGAAGATTAGTATCAATAAACACAATATTTATAAATAAGCAATTAAAGCAATATTTGCAAAAATATGAAATAGGTATGTAGGTACATTGTATTATATCAGTACATACATGGAGTATCAGTTTGGTGCCGCTGTTCTGAATTAAGAATTACACTGAAAAACTAGAGAGCATCCAGAGGAGGGTGATAAGGATATCAAGGGGGCAACTACATAAGAAATGATTGAAGGGGTGTTTAGCTGGGAGGAGAGAAAATCTGGTGGTCTTGGGAAGGGAGGAGGGGAAAGATGGTGCATACGTTGTGGTTGTTGCCTTGAAGTGTTTGAAGGACTCTCATATGTAAGAAGGAATAGATCTGTTCTGCTTAACCCTTGTGTACAGAACTAAGAGTGATGAGGTTACAGAGAGGCAAGTTTTGGCATAATATAAAGAAAAACTTTCTAATGACATAGCTGATGGTAGAATGGGCTGGCTTGAGAGGAAGTGAGGCCTCCTGAACTGGAGGCAGGATGACCGTATGTTGGCAGTATTGTAGGGGAGCATTTCTTACTTGCTTCTCAAAATCCTTTTTGAGCTCTTCCATGGCCTGGGACTGATTCATATTTTTCTTGGAGGCTTGGGATGTAGGAGCTTTGACTTTGTTGTCTTCTTCTGGTTGTATGTTTTGATCTTCTTTGTCACCAAAGAAAGATTCTATGGTCTGACTTTTTCTTTTTGCACCGTTTGCTCATGTTCCCAGCCAATTATTTGACTTTTAAACTCTTTGTTAAGGTAGGGCTCTGCTTCCAGTGTGGAGAATGTACTGTCCCAAGCTTCGGGGGTTTTGTGCAGCTGTTTTCAGAGATACTTCTAGGGACCTGTGAATTTTCAGTTCTTCCAAGTTGGTATGATCAAGGGTGAGGTGTTTACTCCTTTCCTGGCCTGTGCTCTGGTCTATGATTGACCACAAGCATTCTTTTCTGCCTTGGAACTGTGAGGAGGATTCCCTCTCCACTTCCACTACAAGCTCCACCGTGCCACTGCTACCCTTCACTCCAGGACCACCACCCAGAACTGCAACCTAGATCCAAGCATGGGCAAAGCAAGAGAATCCTGCCTCAGTGCCAGCAAAGAGATCTCTGCAATCCCCCTCTGGTCAGTCACTTGATCCCCCCTCAGTCTGTGGGCAGAGAGCTCTAGAAGCAGCTGCCACCCCAGGGCTGTGCTGGGACTGAGACTGGGCCGAGCTCCTCTCTCACCCAGGTCAGTTAGACCTTTCCTACTGACCTTCTAAGTTGTCTTTGCCTTTTGTGGGTTGAGAAGTCTGGAAAACACCACAGCTGCCAGTGATTCAGTCCCTTGAGGCCTGCTCCAGGTTCACTGAGGCCTGGTCTTTGCCTGTGGGGCCCACACTGAACTGCTGCGCTCCTCTCCCAGCTGGGTGCAATAGACCTTTCCTGTCGACCTTCCAGGTTGTCTTGGGCTGGAAATTTGTTTCACTCTTTTTGTGGGTTCTACTGCTCTATAATTTGTTTAGTGCCATTTTCTACAGGTATTTGAAAGGGCTTGGGGGAGAGCTCAAGCAAGTCACTGCTTTTACTCTGCCATCTTGGCTCTGCCCCAGGGGCATTTCTTTTAAAGGGATCAGGCTAAATGAACCTCTCCAATGCTGAAATTCTTTGATTCCATGAAAACCTTAGTTTCCCTATCCACATAATTTAATTAGAGATGCTTTCTTTGGAAAAAAATATTCTGAACTGAACACCAGCCCCTACCCCCAAGAACGTTTCCATTTGCAAAGTAGAACAGGAAAAGAAGATTATATATGAAACAGCAGATCTCTGTCACATAGTTTGCTTTTTAAAAAGTATATAATAAATTCAACGTCTTAGTTTCAAATCTGTACAGCTTTTCTATGTTCCCTTCAAACATCCTTCTGTTCTCTTCTGTGTGATTTTTAAAATGCATCAATAATTCTTTCTTTTCTTTTTTCCCCTCTTTTGGTGGCACTATCACTAGCTCTCCTGTCCTCTCCTCTCCAAATTCCTCTTTCTAATAAAATAAGAAAAATACAGTGCTTGTAATCAGGGCACTTAGTCAAATAAAACGAATTCACACATCTGCTTTATAAAAAAAAAAATGTTTTATCCAGCATCTTAAGTTTATCACCTCACTGTGAGGAAGTAGATGGTATGCTTCATCATTGGTCCTCTAAAGTCGTAATCGTCATTGCATGAGTTCTTAAGTCTTTCAAAGTTGTTTTTCTTTACAATGTTATTATTACATTAGTTTTTCTCCTGGTTCAGTTTATTTAGCAATATATCAGTTCATGTAAGTCTTCCCAGATTTCCCCAAAACTGTCCTTTTAGTAATTTGTTATGGGACAATAGTATGCCATTACATTCACGTACTATGATTTGTGCAGCCAATTCCCAGTTGATCGGCACCCTTTTGTGTCAGTTCTTTGCTATGATAAAAGGCGCTATTATAAAGATATTTGTACATACGGGTTCTTTTCTGCTTCCTTTTCTCTTTGGGGTTTAGGCCTAGTAGCGAGTGGTTTCTCTGGTCCAAAGGGTATACATAGTTTAGTGACTTTTGGGACACAGTTCCAAACTGCTTTCCAGAATGACCAGACCAATTCATAGTCCCACCAATACTGCCTGCCCATTGTCTTTTGTTGTTGTTATCATTTCTGCTCATCTTTGAGACATGAAGTAGAACCTCAGAGTTGCTTTAAATTGCATTTATCTTCATTCATTCATTCATTCATTCATTCATTCATTCATTCATTTATTAAGCTTTCTTTGGGAACTGCCTGTTCATATCCTTTGATCATTCATCTGTTGGGGAGTGGCTACCATTATTATACGTTTGAATAAACTCTACCCTTATCTTGGATATCACACCCAATTAATTATTCCCTTTCTAATTTTAACTGAATTTATTTTCTTTTCAGTTTTCTATAATCAGAATTGTACATTTTATCTTCTGTGATTCACTTTATCCCTTGTTTTATCATGAGCTCTTCCCCTATTCATCGTTGGGAAAAGTACCTTCTTCCTTGATCCACCAATTTGTTTATGATATGACCCTTTTATATCTAGATCATTTGGAATAAATATATATATATATAAAATATACATATACACACATGTATACATACATATATACACATATCTATACAATCTCCATATACATATATACACACATACATATACATGTGTGTATATATGTGTATATATATACATACATATATACACACATACATATATACATATATATATATATATATATATATAAAGGTATGATTTCTTGATCTAGATCTAATTTCTCCCAAACTGTTTTCCAGTTTGCCCAGCACTTTTAGTTGAATAATGAACCTTACCTCAGTTGTTGTAGTCACAGGGTTTATCAAACACTATGTTAATTTGCTACTGTAGGATGTATACCTAATCTGTTCCACTGCTTGGCTTTTCTCTTTTTTAGCAAGTTATCAAATAGTTTTGAATAATGACTACTTCATGGTAGAGTATGGCTTGATTTTCTTTTTTCCACTTTTTTCATTATTTCCTTTGAGAATCTGACCTTTTGTTCCTCCAGATGGATTTTGCCATTATTTTTTTTTCTAGCTCTCTAAAATAATCCTTTGGTAATTTGATTGGAATGACAATCAATCAGTAAATTAATTTAACTTGTACTGTTGCTTTTATTATATCACCATGGCCAAACTATGATCAATCACTATTCAACTTATTTAAGACTGTCTTTATTTCTGTGAATGTTTTGTAGTTGTATTCATTTGGTCCTTATGTATGTCTTGGTAGGTGGATTCTGGAATATTTTATGTAATCTATAGATATTATGAATGAAACCTTTTTTTCTTTCTCTTCTTGCTGAGTTTTGTTAGTAATATGTAGAAAAACTGACGATTTGTGTGTAATGCACCATTTAGAATACTCCTTTATAAATGGGCCATCTGTGCACGAGGGCAAGAGGAGGTACCAGACCTATACCAGAGCACCAGGATGAGAATAGGTGCCAACTGGCAACTTTGTTGCCCACTTTCCAGTTCCAGATCATAGATCCAGGGTGGACTGAGGTAGGGACCTGTGTCCAGGAATGGCTTTCTAGGATAATGAGGGTTGCAGGTGGTGTGCTGAATGAGGTCTCAGCTCTAGCCTCCGATTAAATCTGAAGTCTGCAGAGGAATAAGCAAGGCAGAAATTCCATACCAAAGGGGAGCCTGCGGTTCTGTCCCTCTGAACCAGCAGAGCCTCCTAGCTGTCTGATAGTAGCTAATTGTAGCAGTAGGCTGCTGTTGATCAGACCTACACCCGGCTCTGAAATTTGGCCCTAAAATCAAGTTCAAACTCAGAAAGTGGGCTGAAGAATGAGCAAAGAATGAGCAACAACAACAAAAGAATCTCACCATAAAAAGTTATTATGATGACAGGTGTGCTCAAGGCCCAAGTGCAGAAAAAGAATGACTCCAAAACATCTATAAGCCAAGCTTTAAAGAAAAACACAGCACAGGCTAAAAGTCAACTAGAATTCTGGGAAGAGATAAAGCAAACATTTTTTTTTAAAAAAAAGAGCTATAAATTTTTTTTACAAGTGAAATGAGAGCACTAGAGGAAAAAATTGGAAAAGAAATGAGAGCTATGAAAAAAGTATTGGAAAGGGAATTATTAACAGCTTAAGAGGTATGAAACTTTAATAAAATAAAATAATAAGAAAGAGGTATAAAACCTTGCCCAAGCAACAAATGCCTTGAAGATTAGAATGGGCCAAATAGAAGCCAATGATTCCATGAGACAAGAAATATTAAAGCAAAGTCAACAAGGTGAAAAAAAATGAAGAAAATATGAGGTATCTTATAAGAACAACTGACCTGAAAAACATCATACATCAAGAAGTCTTAAAAGAAAATTGCCCAGATCTCTTAGCACCAGAGGGAAAAAGAGAAATAGAAATAATCCACTGGTTGCCTTCTGAAACAAAGTTCAAAGTATAAATTTCCAGGGACATTATAACCAAAATACAGAGATTCCAAGTCAAAGAAAATATTCCACAAGCAGCCAGAAAGCAAGAATTCAAGAGCCTCTCATCAGTGCCTAGTTCATGGTTCTTTTTGTTATCATTTGGGAGTGAGGGGGATTCGATCCACAAAGTGGTATTAAAATCTGCACAAAAAACCTCCACAAACCAACCCGTGTAATGACCATCAGAGAATAATAGAAGTTAGTGAGTTGAAGTGGGCCCAAGAGGTACTATGTCACAGGAGGAAATCTCTAAGAGTAGGGTTATGATGTTGGAGCCAGAGTAATTAGCCAGCCAGCCCATGGAAATAAAGAGCAGATCATCCCAATCGCTAAGCCATTCCCCAATTATTGGACATTTATTTTGTTTCTAGTTCTTTGCTCCTACAAAATTTCTGGTGTATATAGGACCTTTCTGTTTATCATTAATTTCCTTGTAATAGTTACCTAGCAATTGTTGAAATTAACTGATGACACTTAAACTGGATCTTCTATGGAAGGGAGAATTTCAATAGGTGGGAATAAAAATGAAATGCTTTCCAAGCAAGGAGGATGGTCTATGTATTCCAAGACTCACAGATGACAGGGGTAAAGATGAGATTGGGAAACCAACCTATTTCAAACCACTTCCTCCAGAAGGCATCTGCCATTATTAGATTGACACCAATCATCTATATTATAATAAGCCCATGAATAAAGGAAAATGCTCTTCTACATCTTGCTCTCCCTTCTTTTAATTCCTTCCCTTGTTCCCAAATGCAAATTTTTGTTCAATGCTCTGAAGTTATTAGATATTCAGCAGATGTTATTAGCTTGCTAGCTGAAGTGTGTGTGGGGAGGGGAGCAGGGGGTGGTGATGGGGGAATTGGGAGGTTAGGGGGATGTCTTACTAAAATCCCACCCATTGCATTTCCAGCACCTTTGTTCCTTTTGGGTCTTCATCGTAGAGTCTGTTTCTTTTACTTACACAGTGGAGTTTTAGTGACACCAAAGTTCTGTTTGACCACTCATTGATGGGAGGAAGAAGGGATTGTCAGTCATTAGAGGTTTTGTTTTTCTTCCAGGGAATATGAGAAGTATGGCATCTTCACCAACATCTATGTGATCAATGAGCCCTGGTTATACTCCCTGGCCTGGTGTGCTGGGGTTCATTCGGTCACCACTAATACCATCCAGATACTGAAGAACATTAAAAGCCCATTCTTCTTAATGGTAAGTTAGCTGCCTGTATTGATCTTCCCAGCTAGGTGGCACCATAGATAGAGTGCCAGGACTGGAGTCTGGAAAACCTGAGTTCAAATCCAACCTCAGACAATTACTAGCTGTGTAACCCTGGGCAAATTATTTAACCCCTGTTTGCCCCAGTTTCTTCATCTGTAAATGAGCTGGAGAAGGAAATGGCAAACCACTCTAGCCTCATTGCCAAGAAAACCCCAAATGGGGCCACAAAGAGTCGGATGTGACTAAACAAAATTGATCTTTTCCAGGGGTCCAGTGTAGCAGATTTTCCCACCAGAGCATCATAGACTCTTCATGCTAGAAGGACCTCAGAGTTAATTAAGTCTGAGCCCTGCCTAAAACACATGAAACCCTTCCGTTTGAACACCTCCAGTGATAGGGAGTTTGCTGTCTACCAAAGTAGGCCACTGCATTTTGGACACCTCCAATTAGGAATTCTTTTTTTTTAAAAAATAGTGAGCTGAAATCTACCACTGTAGCTTCTACCCACTGGACCTGGTTCTGCTCTCTAGGGCCCAACAGAAAACATCTCCCCTTCTCCTCTGTGAGTCAATGTAGTGTGGTGAAAAGAGCTGTGGATTGGAAGTCAGAATCCTGGGTCAGCGGCATATGCCCCACGTGACTTTGGACAAGTCTCTTAACCACTCTGGACCACAGTTTCCTCAAGTCGATATCTTTTAAGCTTCCTTCCAGCTCTAGATCCTATGATTGTGTGATCTCTTTAGATATTTGAAGTTGTAGTCAAATTTAATTGTTTTCTTCTTTGGACTAAACATCCTAGTTTCTCCAGTTCTTCTTCGTATGGCATAGTTTCCACGCCTGTCATCATTCTACTCACCCTCCACTCATTGAGCTCCAGATTGTCAATGCCTCTCCTAAAATATGACATCCAAAGCTGAGTGGACAGGACAGAGGACAGCAGAGTGTTTATTCTTTTTTTGGGGGGGGGGCAGTGTCACACAGCTTGTAAGTGTCTGAGGCCTCCTGCCTCAGGTCCTCCTGATTCCAGGGGTGGTGCTCTATCCAGTATACCACATAGCTGCTCCTAGTGTGTTTATTCTTACAGCCTGAGATTGAATTAGCTTTTTTGACCACCATACCTTACTACTGACTCAATATGGAACCCTTAAGACCCTCCATCCCCACCACAGAGCCCAACGCACATGAATAGTTCTTCCATCTTGGCTCTCTAGGACTTAGTATACCAGCTAGTACAGGATCTGAGATCCTGCCCCCTTGCGGGAATCTAGAAGCTCTTTTCTCTCTCCCTCCACCCCTGAAAATCATGCCCACCTCTGTCTTGTTTGTATTCTAGACACCAGAGGAGTATATGAGAATGTGGATACTGCTGGACTTGATCTCTGCCTTAGTCATTATGATTGTGTTTTTTTTCCACTGGTAATTATTTCTTACAATTCTCAATTCTCTGACATGAACTTCTGGACACCTGTACCCTACCTACTCCAGCCAGAAGTTGGAAACTTGGATTTGAACTCTGACTTCTAGGTGACCCTAAAAGCAGGGGCCAGAGTCCATCTCTCTGATAAATAAACCTGATTTTCTTTCTGGGCTGGTACTGCCTCCCTGTTCAAGGAGAATGGTGCAGCTTTAAAGACATGTGGGGAATGGCAGCTGGGGATGGGCATGGAAGGCATACACATCATTTCCCAAGTAGGGTGGGCTATATTCAGACAGACAGGCCCCTGTGTGGAACTTATGGGCACCCAGGGCCCAATTACAGTTTTCTTCACTAGAAATAGAGAGAGGCAGCATAGTATAATGAATTGAGTACTGGATCATGAAATTAGAGAAGACTTGGGTTCAAATCCAGCCTCAGGCACTTATTAACTGTGGTTATTTAACCCTGTTTGCCTCAGTTTCCTCATCTATAAAATGAGCTAGAGAAGAAAATGGCCAACCACTCTAGTATCTGTGCCAGGAAAACCCCAAATGGGGTCTCAAAGAGTCAGACATGACTGAAAAATGACTCAACAAGGGAGTCTAAATGAAGGAACAGAGGAGGATCTCATCAGCTCCCATAGATTCAACTAGCATCTCAATGCAGATGATCTCTCAGATTTGTGTGTTCAGCTCTAGCCTCTGCTGACCTCCATTGTCCAGACGTCTTAAACTCAACATGTTCAAAACTGAACTTATTTTCCCCCCAAACCCTTTCCTCTTCCAAACTTTCCAATTACTGTTGAGGTCGCCACCATCCTCCTAGCCACCCAGACCTGTTACAACCTAAGGATCATCCTCGACCTCTGTCTCACTGCACTCCCATATCCAATCTGTTGCCAGTTACAACTTCCTGCCTTCTCAACAAAAGCCCATTTGCCTCCTGACACTGCAACCACCATTATCATGTGTAGGTCCTTATCATGTCACACCACTGGCCTGCTGGTGGGTTGTCCTGTTTCAAGTCTCTCCCTATTCCAGGCTACCTTTAGCTGTCAGGTCTTCCTAAAGTGAGTCTGACCATCTCACCCCTCTAACTCCACTGGCTCCCTAGTATTTCCAGGTTCAAATATAAAAATCCTCTGTTTTTTAAAGTCCTCTGGAACTGTCCCCTCCCTACCTTTCCAGTCTTCTCATACTTACTGCCCGCCCTGCACTCCCCCAGTGACACTGGTCTCCTTAACCATTCCTCATATAAGACACTCCCATCTTCCAGCTCTGGCCATTTTCATTGACTTTCCCCCATGCTTGGAATTCTCTCCCTCCTCATCTCTGCCTCCTAACTTCCTTACCTTCCTTCAGATCTCAGTTAAAATGTCATATTCTACAAGAAGCCGTTCTTGATTCCCCCTTACCTTTAATGCCTAACACCTCTCCTCTAAATAGAGTATCTCTGATTTATTCTGTTTATATCTTGTTTATACATAGTTTGTATGCTGTCTCCCCTGTCAGACTATGATGTGAGCTCCTTGAAATCAGAGACTGTCTTTTGCCTTTCTTTGTACTCTCAGCACTTATCACAATGCCTGGCACATTGTTTAATAAATGTGTTTAATAAATGCTAGTTGACTGACTGACTGACTTAGGGATTACAGGCATGGGGGACAATCTATGCAAAGTGGGAGATGGAATTTTGTGTACAGTGAATGGCAAGTAGGCCAGTTTAGCTGCAATGTAGTATATGGAGAGGCACAAATGTGCTATAAAAATGGGTTGGAGCCAGATTGAGAAGGGCTTTAAATACTAGACAAAAGAAGTTGTATTTTATTCTAGAGGCAATGGGGAGCTACAGAAGCTTCCTGAGTGGAAGAATGACATGCTCAGAGATGTACTTTAGAAATATGAATTTGGGGGGCAACTAGGCGGTACGGTGGATAGAGCACCGGCCCTGAAGTCAAGAGGACCTGAGTTCAAATCTGGCCTCAGACCAAATACTTGACACTTACTAGCTGTGTAACCCTGGGCAAGTCACTTAACCCCAATTGCCTAAAAAAAGAAAGAAAGAAAAGAAATATGAATTTGGCACCTGGTTGGCCATGGATTGGGGAGAAAAGAGATTGGGAGCAGACCGACAAATTAGGAGACTATTGGAATAATCCAGGCAAGAGGAGATAGGAATCTAAACTATGGTGTGTGATTGTGGAGAAAATTTTCTTAGGTTCTAACCACATAGTTCTGTACATCTTAAATATCCCAGTTTGGTTAAAATTCCAGAAGTAACATTTAAGAAAATATGTTTCCAAATAAAAGAGAATGTGCCACTGTATGTAATTCATTTCTTTAATTCTGATGACCTTTAAGTGCAGGAGACATGGGAAGGACTCCCTAAAACACTCTGCCCCCAACTCCCACTTATATCTATATGGACTGAAAAAGATAAAAACAAGGAGACTCTGTGATTGATATACAAAAATTCACCAAAGGAAAACAAGGAGATACGTCTTAATTTACAACCTTCTCCTTTGTCCCTCCAACCCCCAAACATAGCAGGTCTGTGAGGGGTCCTTACTCCCTACTCCCAAATTAAAGTGTCTAAGAGTTTCAGGGACCATCTGTCAAGCGTTAGCCGGCCACCATGTTTAATTTCTGGCATCTGCTTGTCAATTTCAGCCCTGTATCCTTTGGAGAGCAGCTAGTTTTATTTTTGATTGTTGAAGAAACAAAAAATGATGTTGGGAGCCTAGGTTACAGTTCTAGGTCCCTTACCGGTATGTGATTTAAAACCCTATCTCTAGACCGAAACTGCACTCTCTCAACTGTGAAATCTAATGAATTTTTTGTCAGTCTTCATCCTGTTTGCTTCTCTGAGGTTCTTAAAACTATTACCTTCTCATTCTGAATACTCTGTCTTCCTCAAACTTTTCATGACATTACTCTTTTCTGGTTTTCCTCCTACCTCTCTGATCACTCCTCAGCCTTCTTGGCTGGATCATTACCTATACCCTGCCCCTAAGTGTGAATGTACTGTAGCTTAGGTGCCACATCCTGTAGGAAGCCTCTCCTAACCCCTCCCCCACCCCCCCAGTTGCTAGGGCAATGTAGTGGTTGCCTTGTATACATCTTACATTTATTTGTGCATGATTTTTGTGTTTGTATACCCAATGCCTAGCACATGGGAGGCTTTTGACGATTGCTTACTGAATGGATGAGTGATGTGTGCAAGAGATGTTGTGGAGGCCAAAATGAGATCTGATTGGTATGAGATGGATAAAGGAGAAGAAAGAATTGAGGATGATTCTGAGGCTGCAAAACCGAGATGTGCAAAAGGATGTCCTTGACAGAGACAGGGAATATAGAAAGAGAAGGGCTGGTTTAAAGAGAATGAGAAGAATCTCATTTGCGGCATGGTGAATTTGAGATGCTCAGAGGATGCCTAGGTAGATGTGGAACTTGACTGTTGATGACGTAGTATTGGGACTCAGAAGAGAAATGAGGGCTGAGTATGGAAGTTTGGGACTAATTTGCTATAGAGATGATAAATGGGGTCATTTTGTGAGATCCTCAAAATAGCTTAGGGAAAGATGAGGCTTTGATCAGAGCCCTAAGAGATGGTCCAATAAAGTGGGCATGAACTACCAGGCAGATTTAAGAGAGGGTAGGATTGACGATAACAACGAAACAACAACAAGGGAGGAGATAGTGTTTCGGAGAAACGAGTGATCATCAGTACCAAAGAAGAGGGATTAAAAAGGATGCAGACAGAGATAAGTCATTAGATTTAGCAGTTAGATCTTTGATAACCTTGGGAGAGCGCATTTGCAGCTGAGCCATGGGATCAGAAGTCCGATTGCAAAAGGTTAAGAAGTGAGTGGGAGGTGAAGACCTGGGAGGAAGTGAGGGTATATGACTTCTTCTAGGAGTATGGCTAATAGAGTGAAGAAAAAGACACAGGATGATAGCTTGAGGGGATGGTGGGGTCAAATGGAAAGTATTTTTTAAAGAATGGGTAGATTAAGAGAGATTTAAGATTATAAAAAAAATCAGATGATCAAAGAAGAAAACTCCTGGAGGAGATGGGATCAATGGTATAATGAAAGGGAGGTTGGCCTTGGCAAGGAGAAGAATTATCTATTTCCCTGAAACAGGAGCATAGGAGAAAAGAGTCAGGGAGTGACAGTGAAGCTACTTGAGGTATAGCAGTGGGAAGGAAAAAGAATTTTCTCAGTAAAATTATATAAAGCTTGCCCCTCTCCTGAAAGGGATATGGGAATGGAGGGGAAATAGGTGACTCGAGAGAAGAGAAGGTTTGGAATAGTTTCTGTAGGGCCTATGATAGGAAGTCAACCAAGGAAGAGTTCAATGATGGCCCCATAAAGATTGGGTGACCACTACAGCTATTATCAAGGGGAGCAACCCCTGTGATGAAGGGGTATTCCCTTCTTGCCACCACCAACTCCCCCTGATACTGATCTGCTGCCTATCTGCCACTGATGGGCAGGTATAACCAAGAGCTCTGGTATAGCAGCATCCTAGCCCACTAGGCTTGCTTCTAGCCAAGTGACCATTGTCTAGGTTGAAGAATCCCCTGTGGATAAGGTACCCCACTATTCCTACCACCACCAACTGACAACCAACTGTCACTGACAGGCAGTAAGCCCAAGAACACCAGAACTCCCAGTAACTCTCCACAGAGTTACCTGCCTGGCTTCCAGCTAGGCTCCCAGCCTGGCTCCTTTAGCCATCATCTGGGGGAGAGATCCTTGAGAATAAGGAGCCCACCATCCCTACCATCCCTAACATCAACTACTAAACAACTACTATGTATAAACAGGTAAGCTCAAGAACTCTGGGAACTGCAGCTTTCCCCTCCCCACATGCCCTGTGACTAGATTTCCCCAAAGCACCGTTATCCAGGAAGGCAGCCCTTAAAGAGATGAAGCCTGGTGACTGTTCCTGTAGGTGCTACACTTCCAACCTTCTCAGGAGCCATAGATAGTAAAGACCCCAAAAATACCATTCTGGATGCCAAAGCCACTGGCACAGTCGAATGGTCTAACATTAGAGACTGATCTGGCTTTATTAATCAGAATGATGCCACAGAAGATACATGATTATTTCCCACCTTCTTCACAAGGCCTTCCTTCCCTTACACCCACCCTTGATCCCCTCCTGGTTTCTTCTCTCTGGGAAAGTTTTGTGTTTTCACTTTATAGATCTTGTGTGTGCCTAGCTATTTACATGTGATCTCTCTTATTAATATAAGTTATTTGAGGGGAAGAAATACTTTCCCACCTTTCTTTATATCCCCAAAATTTAGTTCAGTTCCTGGCAAGCAAATGCTTACTGAATGACTGGCTGACTTCTTTGATGCTTTACCCTAGCTGAAACCTAAAGGTGATATATACCCTATTAGACTGTGAGCTTCTTGAGGGCAGGGGTTGTCTTTTCTATGTATATTCCAGACTTAGTACAGTGCTTTGCACATAATGAGTGAATATCTAATGAATACTTTCTTATTCATTCATTCATAACACATTTTTATTCCTCCCAACCAACCAGCCACATCAACTTCTTGGAGGCAGGGTCTGGCTCATTTTTGCCTTTGTGTGTGTCTCTCTAGCACTCAGTGCCTTGCACATAAGACATAACAAATATTTCTTGAATTAAGATGAGTATGAACAAAGGCACAGAGATGGATGAATGTGTAGTAGTTTAGAGGGTAGCAGGGTGGAATAGTGCAGTTAGACTCAGAACATGTAGTATGTTTGGAAAGGAGCAATATGAGATGTATAGAAGAGTAGGTTGTTGAGGACCTTAAAAGCCAGGCAAAGGAGTTTGAACCCTATTCAAAAGATAATAATGAGCATCAAAGAGGTTTGAACAGAAGAAGTACAGACACAACCAAATTTGTGCATAAGAAAGATTATTTTGGCAGTAGTATGTTTGAAGTGGGAGGGGCAGGGAATGGAGGCAGGTAGACCTTGGGAAGATTACCACAATAGGTGGTAATAAGGGCCTACACTGGCCTGGTGACAGTAAGACTAGGGAGGAAGGGAAGGACAGATGTAATGGTGTTGCATAAATTGCATCAACAGGACCTGGTAATTGACTAGATATGAAAGGTGAGGGAGAGAAAAGAGCCAAAGAAAGCCTCAACATGACCATATCTCCGTGACAGCCAAGACCAGAAAAGACCATTGAAGTCTTGCCTTCAGATGCCCAGCAAACTTCCTCCAATCCAGCCATATTGTCAGCACCATCCCATCCAGAAACCTTTACTCCCATGGAATCTCTTTTCCAATGGTTGCCCTGCTAAGAGACTTTAGAGATTATCCAACCTTTCCCCCTCATTTTATTGATGAGGAAGCCAGAGAGGAGAAATAACTTACCCAAGATCATGCAGTGGGTTTGTTATAGAGTTGGAACTAGACCTCAGTTCTTATAATTGGCCATACATTGCTCCACCACACTGGGCTGCCTTCATGGTTGGGTTAGGCAGTGGACTCCTCCTCTCTTGTATTACTGGAAGCAGATGTTTTACAGAAGACCACCTCCCCAGCTTAAAGCCTCCATGGTAAGGACTCCTTGCGGAGGGATTCAGAGTGGGTGACTCTGCCTTGTCTAGGTTGACAGATCTGGCGATAGCCAAATTCAGGCATCCCTCTCCACGAGCCTTCATATGTCTAACCTCCTGTAGTTGCTTCAGTCCCTTTAGGCTCATAGTGCTGAAAAATTTTGGAGATGACCCATTTTATAGAGGAGGGTCTTTATAGGGTCCAAATTTTTCTCTTTGGTGATAAGTATCAGAGCTGGAATTTGAACCTAAGTCCGACACCAAATCTAGCATTTCCTCCCATGCCCTGCTCCCTTTCTTGCTCCTTGTTCTATTTCATTTAGGTTATTTATGACTTAGAATTACTAGCATTTATATAGCAATGCATAAAGCGCTTTGCTCTGATAATCTCATTAATTTACAATTAAGAGTTAGGAGCTGTTTTCAAATATTTGAAGGGCTGCCATGACGGATTAGGCTTTTTTTTTCTATTTATCCCCAAAGGGAAGAATGACAAACTTAGGTCTGATGTCAGGAGAAGCTTTCTAATAGAAAACTACCCCAAAGTGGACCAGGCTTCCTTAAGAACTGGGGGACTTCCCCCTCTTTGGAGGTCTTCAGGCAGAGGCAGGAAACCGCTTCCAGGGTATGTTTGTGCTTGGGATTTGATGGCCTCTAAAATCCCTCCCAATTCTGAGATGTAGTGATGTTCTAGGTGACCTTGCTTCCACAGGTAAACTGATTTGTTCTGTGACTGGCCTGCTTTATTCCAGGTGGAGACAGAAAGGATGGTGTGAACTGATTGTGAAAAAGTCAAGCCCAGGTAGGTAGAGATGGGAGATTCATGAGGTGATTCAGCAGGGCAGCCCTGGTCAAGTGGTCTGAGGTCCCTGAGTATGTCTCCATGAATGGTCCCCAGGAATGTCCTATGTCTCACGCCTTTCACCCCCATCCCCACGGGTTATAGCATACCCCTGGTTGTCTCAATGCAACTAGGCGCAGACTGTCCTATGATCAGTCTCTGTAAACTTGTAATTTTCTTTCCCTTTTCCTTCACCACCTATAGCATCATGCCCCATACTTTTCTTCTACCGAAACACTGTGATCTTTGGAGACAGCTATGTAGAGTGGTGGACAGAGTGGTGGACTTGGAAGACTGTAGTTCAAATCCCTTACTTGGCTGTGTGTCCCTGGGCAAGTTATTTAGTCTCTTTCAGCCTCAGTTTCCTCATCTGTACAATGAGGGTAATATGAGCTCCCTCATAGGGCTGTTATGAGGATCAAATGAGGTTTTTTAATATATGCATATATATAATATTATATATACATGTAATATAATATTAGGGGCAGCTAGGTGATACAGTGGATAGAGTGCCAGGCCTAGAGTCAGAAAGACTCACCTTCCTGAATTCAAATCTGGCCTCAGACACTTACTAGCTGTGTGACCCTGGGCAAGTCACTTAACCCTGTTTGCCTCAGATTCCTCATCTGTAAAATGAGCTGAAGAAAGAAATGGCAAACCACTCCAGTATCTTTGTCAAAAAAAACTCCAAATTGGGGGGGGGGGTGGAGCCAAGATGGCAGAATAAAAGCAGTGACTTGCTTGAGCTCTCACCCAAACCTTTTCAAGTACCTGTGGAAAATGGCTCTAAACAAATTCTAGAGCAGCAGAACCCACAAAAAGAGTAAAACAAATTTCCAGCCGAAGACAACCTGGATGGTTGATTGGAAAGGTCTATTGCACCAGGCTGGGAGAGGAGCGCAGTTCAGCGTGGGCCACATAGGCAAAAACCAGGTCTTAGTGAATCTGGAGCAGTCGTCAGGAGATTGAATCAAGGGGAGCTGTGGCAGTTTCCAGACTTCTCAACCCACAAATGCCAAAGACAACTTGAAAGGTCAGTAGGAAAAGTCTGTCTGACCTGAGTGAGAGAGGAGCTCAGTCCTGCCCCAGTCCCAGTGTAAGCATAGAGCGGTGGCTGCTTCCAGAGCTCTCTGCCCACAGACTGAGGGGGGATCAAGTGGCTAATCAAAGGGGGATTGCAGGGATCTCTTTGCTAGCACTGAGGGAGAATTCTCTTGCTTTGCCCGTGCCTGGATCTGGGTCACAGTACTGGGTGGCATTCCTGAGTTGAGGAGGAGCGTTGGAGTGGTGGAACTTGTGGCAATGGTGGAGAAGGAATCCTCTTCACAGTTTCAAGGCAGAAAAGAGTGCTTGTGGTCACTCATAGACCAGAGCACAGGCCAGGAAAGGAGTAAACACCTCTCCTTTGATCATACTACCTTGGAAGAACTGAAAATTTAAAGGTCCCTAGAAGTGTCTCTGAAAATAGCTGCACAAAACCCATGAAACTTGGGACAGTGCATTCTCCACACTGGAAGCAGACCCCTACCTTAACAAAGAGTTTAAAACTCAAGTAATTGGCTGGGAACATGAGCAAACTACTCAAAAAAAGTCAGACCATAGAATCTTTCTTTGGTGACAAAGAAGAACAAAACATACTACCAGAAGAAGACAACAAAGTCAAAGCTCCTACATCCAAAGCCTCCAAGAAAAATATGAATTGGTCCCAGGCCATGGAAGAGCTCAAAAAGGATTTTGAGAAGGAAGTAAGAGAAGTAGAGGAAAAACTGGGAAAAGAAATGAGAGTGATGCAAGACATGAAAAACAAGTCAACAGCTTGCTAAAGGAGACCCAGAAAAATACTGAAGAAAATAACACCTTCAAAAATAGATTAACCCATGGCAAAAGAGGTCCAACAAGCCAATGAGGAGAAGAATGCCTTAAAAAGCAGAATTGGCCAAATGGAAAAGGAAGTCCAAAAGCTCCCTGAGGAAAATACTTCCTTAAAAATTAGAATGGAGCGAATGGAAATTAATGACTTTATGAGAAATCAAGAAATTGTAAAACAAAAACAAAAGATGAAAAAATAAAAGACAATGTGAAATATTTCATTGGAAAAACAACTGACCTAGAAAATAGATCCAGGAGAGATAATTTAAAAATTATTGGACTATCTGAAATATATGATCAAAAAAAGAGCCTCGACATCATCTTTCAAGAAATTATCAAGGAAAGCTGCCCTGATATTCTAGAACTAGAGGGTAAAATAGAAATGGAAAGAATCCACCGATCACCTCCTGAAAAAGATCCCTAAAGGAAAACTCCTAGGAATATTATAACCAAATTCCAGAGTTCCCAAGCGAAGGAGAAAATATTGCAAGCAGCCAGAAAGAAACAATTCAAGTGTTGTGGAAACACAATCAGGATAACACAAGATTTAGCAGTTTCTACATTAAGGGCTTGGAACATAATATTCTGGAGGTCAAAGGAGATAGGATTACAGACAAGAATCACCTACTCAGCAAAACTGAGTATAATCCTTCAGGGAAAAAATGGACATTCAGTGAAATAGAGGACTTTCAAGCATTCTTGATGAAAAGACTAGAGCTGAATAGAAAATTTGACTTTCAAATACAAGACTCAAGAGAAGCATGAAAAGGTAAACAAGAAAGAGAAATCATAAGGGACTTATTAAAGTCGAACTTTTTACATTCCTACATGGAAAGATGATATTTTTAACTCATGAGACCTTTGTTAGTATTAGGGTAGTTGGAGGGAAAAATTATAGATAGATAGATAGATAGCGCAGGGTGAGTTGAAGATGAAAGGGTGATGTCTAAAAAATTAAGGGGTGAGAGAAGATTATATTGGGAGAAGAGGAAAGGGAGAGGTAGAATGCGGTAAATTATTTTACATAAAACAGACAACAAAAAGCTTTTACAGTGAAGGGGAAGTGGGAGAAGATGAGAGGGAATGAGTGAATGTTATTCTCATTAGATTTGGCTTAAGGAGGGAATAACATACACACTCTATTGGGTATGGAAATCTATCTTACCTTACAGGGAAATAGTGGGGAAGGGGTTAAGAGGGGGGATGATAGAAGGGAGGGCAGATTGGGGAAGGGGGAAATCATAAGCAAACACTCCTGAGGGACAGGGTCAAAAGAGAGAATAGAGCAAATGGGGAGCGGGATAGGATGAAGGGAAATATGGTTAGTTTTTCACACCATGACTACTATGGAAGTGTTTTGCATGACTGCACATGTATAACCTGTATTGATTTGGTTGCCTTCTCAATGAGGATGAGTGGGGAAGGAGGAAGAGAGAAAATTTGGAACCTAAAGTTTTAAAAACAAATGTTAAAAATTGCTTTCACATGCAACCAAGAAATAAGATATACAGGCAATGGGGTATAGAAATCTACCCTGCCCTACAGGAAAATAGAAGGGGAAGGGGATAAGAAAAGGGGAGGTTGATAGAAGGTAGGGCAGATTAGGGGAAAGGGTATTCAGAATGCATGCTGTATTGGGGTGGGGGGAGGAGGGAGATGGGGAGAAAATTTGGAACTCAACATCTTGTGGAAGTAAATGTTGAAAACTAAAAATAAATAAATTAATAAGAAAACCCCAAATGGGGTCATGAAGATTCAGACATGACTGAAAAACTGAAATATATAATTTCACTGAAATACATAATATGTGATATTAATATATTGAATTACACATATAATACACAATATATTATTATAATTACATGATGTATTATAATAGATTATAATTTATTATAATCTATATATTATAACAGTATAAATATATAATATAATATTATGTAATGATTATTTAATGTTATAATATGATATGCTATGTTTTATTATATATTATACATCATATAACATATAACAATATTAAAAGTAATAATATAAAATTATAATATATAGATTATAGTATGTAATATTTTAATATATAATTAGAAACCTAAAATATATATTACATGTGCAAATATTATATATGCACATATGTACTGTGCAGTACATAATACGTACATAAACACATATATATAATATGTATGCAATACTATATAGAAATCATATGTATGCTTTCAAACCTTAAAGCACCATATAAGTGCTAGCTATTATCATCATTATTCTCCCCACAGTGGAGACCTGCCAAGCTGTGCTGTGCTAACAACTAGCCAAATCAGGGTTCCATTTACACTTCTTTTGAGAAGGTTAATAATTTTTACATAGTGCCTTCTCTTACTTTCTGGCTGCTTCATGTTTCCCCTTCACAACTCTCATACACAACTCACATACACAGTTCAGCTCTCAGCTCTTCCCCTTATGGTGCATGAGCACAGACAAATCACTTTTCACTGGGCATCACTTTCTTCCTTTGCCATAAGAATAAACGACATTTCTATAGTACATAGCACTTCACGTAGCAGTGTCATTTGAACCTTCTGACAGCCCAGGGAGGCAGGGCCTATTGGTATCCTTGTCCGCATTTTACAGATGAGGAGATGGAAACTCAGAGGAGAAGTGTAAGATATGGCATTTGAGCCCAGGTCTGTCTACTACCCAACAGTGCCTCTCTATAGATGGTGGAGTCTGGACTTAAGGATCCCCAGGGTTCCTTCTTGCTTTAAATCCTGTGATCCAGCTCATGGAAAGCAGAGACTAGGCTTCTAATTCCCTTTGATTCTCTTTTCCGCAAAGCACCTGGTATATATCTTGCGTCTATAGGATATTTGGCTTCATTGCCTTTCTCCTTGACTTTTCCCTTGTCCATCTGCTCCTTCTCAGCCTCCTTTGCTGAATTCAAACCAATCCAACTGGCATTCATTAAGCACCCATGGTGTGCAAGGCATTAGGATACCAAGACAAAATGGAAAAGAGTCCCTGGCCCTGAGAGAGTTTCAATTCTACTGGTGGGATGCAACATATTAACAATGAAGGAATGTGTGAAAACATAAAGGGAGGAGAGAACACCAAGATTATATAAGGAACAGGAAAGGCTTTCTATAGACGGGGGAGCATGTGCTGTTCTTTGAAGAAAGTCAGAGATTGTAAGACTTGGAGCTAAGGAGGTACTGCATGGTAGGCAAGGGGGATCTATCAACCAAGAAATCATTAGTAACTTTGGGAAGAGCAGTTTCAGTGGAAGGATAAGGTCAGGAGCTGATTGTAAAGGAGGGGATAAGAAGAGAGTGAGAGGAGAGAAAGGGGAAGCACCTACTATAGACAACCATTTTGAGGAGTTTAGCTACAAAGGGCAGAAGAGATCTAGGATGATAATTAGCAGAGATGAAGGATCAAGTGAGAGTTTTTTCAGGATGGGGGAGACATGGGCATGTATGTAGACAGTAGGGAAGGATCCAGTAGACAGGAAGAGATTGAAAATAAGTGAAAGAACGGGGGTGACATGGGAGCAACTTGCTGGAGGAGACAGGACAGAATGGGATCACTTGAACCAAGTAGAGGTAAGGAGTAAGTGTTTTATCAGATGTCTGAAATGTTGTTGGAGGTGTGAATCTGGAGGTTGGCAAAGGGATTAGAACAGGACAGGGAGATTTAAGAATCATCCGTATAGAAATAATAATTAAATCCATGGGAGTTAATGAGATCACCAAGTGAAGTAGTATAGAGGGAGAAGAGAGGAGGCCCAAGATAGAACTCTGAAGGACACCTGTGGTTAGAGGGTATTATTTGAAGATCGCTAGATCAGAAAGGAGACAGAGAAGGAGCGATCAGAGAGGTAAAAGGAAAACCAGGAAAGAGTGGTATCCCAAAAACCTAGAGAGAACGGAGTATCAAGGATAAGAGGATGATCAATAGTCTCAGAGGCTGCAGAGGTGTGGAGGAGAATAAAGACTGAGAGAAGGCCATTGGATTTGGCAATTAACAGATCATTGGTAACTTTGGAGAGAATTTTTGGTGGAAAGATGAAGTTGGAAGCTGGATTGTAAGGGTGAAGAAAAGAGTGAGAGAGGAGAAAATGAATGTAGATGACCTTTTTAAGGAATTTTGACACAAATGGCTGAAGAATATAGGATTACAGTTAGTGGGGTTGGAAAGATTGAGTAAGAGTTTTTTTGAAGATGGGGAAGACATGGGTCAGGGAAAGCTCCATTAGACAAGGAGGGATTGAAAATAAGTGGTAGAGCAGGGATGACAGAAGGGGCAATCTGTTGGAAGAAACGGGTTGGGAAGGGGTCGCTTGAGCAGGTGGAAGAGTTAACCTTGGTAAGGAGTAAGTCCACCTCTTCATGGGAGATAGGAGTGAAGGAGGAAAGAGTGGCAGAGGGATAGGAGATAAGGAAGAGGGGGAAAGAGAGCGCTCCCAGTGAAAGGCCTCATTTTTTTCTATAAAATATGATACAAAATTCTCATCTAAGAGATTGGGGCAAAGAGGAGCCATGGGAGGTGTGAGGAAAGATTTGGAAGAACTAGAGTGGAGAGTGGGAGAGTGAGTCAATAAAGGAGGTATAGTAGGGTTGCCTAGCAGCAGTGAGGGCCCAGTTGAGGCTATATAATATAAATTTGTTGCGGACTCAGAACAGTTGTGTGATTTTCTTCATCTTTGTTCAGCAGCACATAGGTAGGAATGATGGAGAGAGTTATCTAATGCTGAGGCTTGGTTGGGAACAATCAGCAAAATGATAAGGGGGCTAGAAACTCCAGAGAGGAGGGGCAGTGTAGGGTCAAACTGGTTCACCAAGGAGTCATGGAGAGGAGAAAAGACAGTGGCTAGTGCAAGGGAGATGGCCTGGGAGAGAAACGATTGGGGGTCACAATGTAGGCAGGGCGAGGTGGAAAATCAATAGATTATGGTCAGGTAAGGGCATTTTGGAATTCTTGAGCATGCAGGTGATGCATTTGTGGACAAAGGTAAGATCAAGGGTATGACCATCTTTGTGTGTGGCAGAGGTGGGATGGAGGAGTAGCTCATGGGGGGTGAGTAAACTGAGGAATTAGTAGTTAGGGTGTTTGTGGGAGAGTCAATAGGTACTTTGATTGACTGACTGATTGCTGGATTTAGAATTCAGAGACCTGGGTTCAAATCCCAAGGTTAACCTTGGACAGGTCACTGAGGGGGTTAAATTAGGTGGTCTCTCAGGTTCCTTCAGTTCCAGATCCATGTTCCTGTGTCTTGAGGAGGGATGGAGCATGTTCATCCCGAGAAGCACAGGCCTGGGGAGCTAGGGGTGGATTTCCAAGAACTCTGATGTGTCTGGGGACTGTTGTTTCAGTCTCCTTCAGATCACCTATTTATTTGGTTTCATCCTTTGCTGACTTTTCTTCAATTTCCCCAGTATTTCCAATGTCTGGGGTTACAGGTGTTGAAGAGACTATTGAGGAGGTCCAAAAACAAAATAAAAACATCGAAAATCAGGAAGAAATTCCAGGTAAGGAGAGAAGAAAAATATTGAGCAGGGCTGGGTCAGGGACCATTGCTGTGTCTGTTACATCATTTACCTTATCTCAGTTTTCTCATCTGTAAAATGAGGACAGGCCTGCCATTCTTTCAGGGCAGACCAAATTAGATAATATATGGGACAGGTATTGAAAATGTATGAGGTAATGAAAATACTGTCCACCTCCAGAGAAAGAACTGATGTGGTCTGAATGCAAATTGAAGCATACTATTTTTCACTTTATTTTTTCTGTTTGTTTGTTTTTTTTCCCTTTGGGTCTGTGTCTTCTTTCACAACATGACTGATATGGAAATAGGTTTTTCATGATTGTACATTTAACCTATATCAAATTGCTTACTATCTTAAAGGGGATAGGTGAAGGAGGGAGAAAATTTGGAACTCCAAGTTTAAGAAAAAAAATGTTAAAAATTGTCTTCACATGTAATTGGGGGAAAACAAATTTTTAAAATTTTTTTTGTTATTTAAAAAAAGAAAGAAAATGTATGAGGCCCAGTACAGAATGTGTGTCCCCCTGAGGAACTGGAACGTATCAGAGGCTGATTCCTTCCTCTGTAGGAACACGTCTATTTGCTCCATTGTTGGTTTTTACGTGCTCTTTCCTTTCTCTTCAGTATCATCAAGTCCTTCCGACAAAACGACAGAATATTGGGATTCCCTCTTGGAAATGAAACGAGGTGAGTAGGGGATGGGGCTGGAAGAGATGTTACGACCTTTTCTCTATCCCTTGCTACCTGTGTGGCTTTGGGCAATCATTGAACCTCTCTGGGCCTCAGTTTCCTCATCTATAGAACAAGGGGATTGGGGGGGGGTTGGACCAGGTGACCTCTGAGATCCCTTTCCCTTCTTAATTTGTATTTCCATTATCCCCAGGACATCTCTGCTTAGGAGCCTTCTCAAGCAAACACCCTGCTATCTGGATTTGAGAGCCCTGGTGGGCTAGGTAGAGTGAGGTAGAACTTTCCCTCCAGTGCCCAGGGTCTTGTTTATTCCTTGTCAGACCTCCTCCCCCCATTTGATTGTTCAGTGTGCCCCAGCACCCAGGCATCTGCCTCCCCCTGAATTGGGGGGTTAATGGGGGAGGGAGTGGGGCTTTGGAGAGCCCTTTCAGAGGGAATCATGTCCAACCAGCCCCACCCCTTACCTATCTCCAGTGAAGCATTTTAGTATAATGGTCCCCATTACTACAGCCCTCTAGGGCTCACAAAACACTTTTCTACAACAGCTCTAGGAAGAAGGGGTATAAGTATTAGGACCCCCATTTGCATGAGGAGACTGAGGCTCAGAAGAGGAAATAACTAGGCCTCCCGACTCTCAGTCCAGTGTTCATTCCATTGTGCCAAACTGCCTAAGTACTTTGTAACATCAGCCAGTTAACAATTACTTATTAAGTATAAGGCTATGGCTACATAGAGGATGTCCCCAAAGGCTCAATACCATTTTAAGTTTTAAGAGTGTTAATAGATTTAAAATGATAATGAGATTTTTGGGGGATACCATATATTGATCAAAAAAGGTCATAGGGCAGAGTTGTGGGGCGCCATCAGCTTATGTGCCCAGGGCAGGTATTCAAGCCCAGGCCTGGGTTATTTAAGATGTTTTACCTCCTCTTCCTCTGCAGCACATAAAGTGAAGTTGGCACATGCCTAAGACGTCTAGAAGGAACGACCCTGAGAGAATTTGACTGTCCAGTGTCCCAAGAAGGAAATGGCAGAAAGTTTACCAGGAGGGCAGAGGAAAAAATCTTAGAATCTTAATCTTGTTTCCCCCACTCAGGCCTGACCACTTGCCTTACTTACTGGTTTCAATTTCTTCTTCTCCTTCTTTTCAGAAAAAGTGAAAATGACCAGGAGCCTGAGTACAGAGAGTGTTGTGGGATCGAGTGATGAAGGCATGAAAGGTAACCTGATGGGGAAGACCTAGAACCCCAGGTCTAGAAGGAACCCTGAGACCTCCTCCATTGCCCCCTTCTCCTGGGGGCATCTGGATGGGTCTTGGGCGTCCTGGCCCAGAAACTCTCTTGGACGGAGACTCAGAGCTCCTGGGGACCCACAACTTCTTCAACCAGTATCAGAAATTCCTTTTCATTTATTCAACAATTATTCAAGAACTAATTTTTAAAAATTCATTCAAGAAAGCAAAGTTCTTACTTCTTCTAGGGAAGTTTCTTCTTATCCGAGCTGAAGACCATCTTCCTATAACTTCCACCCATTGGTGTTAGTGCTTCCCAAGAGCGGCAAGCAGAGTTCATTTTCTGCATGGAAGTCTGTCAGATGCGTTTCTCCCAAGTTTTCCCTTTTTTAGGTTTGGTGATCTTTCGATTTTGTGACATGATATTAAGAAGTCCCAATATTTTAATTATATGTAATGAATGAGGCCCCACCTCATCCCTAGGTTACCCCTCTAACTTGAACTCTGCCCTAATAAGTTGGCCTCCAAAGGGTTACATATTGTCCACGGTTCATGAGTATGAATTCCTAAAACTCTCACAAGTTCCAACAAGTATGCTTACCTTCAAGTCAGTGATTAGACAGATTTCCCTCAGAGTGAAGTGAGATGCTTGGAAGTCATAGCTACATAGCTGCATTACATTCCCCTCTGCGGCGGGCTCCCCACAAATACACACATGGTCTGTGGGAAGAACGGGAACATTCCTGGAGTCCAGTGGTAATGAGGCCCACATGTGGCCGGGACAGCTTATCCCCCCAGCACTGTGGGGCCCGATCTCCTTTCTTATCTCATGGTGTCTTCAAACAGCTTCCTCCTGAGTGGAGAATCTGCTGGGCAGCTTTCTCAGCTAGGCTCTCTGGGTCTGCCTGTCTCTGCAGCTTCCAGCTGCCAGGGCTAGCTCGACTCTTGTTCCTAAGATGGCTGCCAGGTGTCGTGTCACCATCCACTGATTCTCTGTCTTTACTCCCTACTTCCTGTTGGATAATGTCTCTTGGCGCTCTGAGCAGCTCTTTTATATGACACCATTGGCAGGGAGAAAGGAAGAGCCTCTGGGAGAGGCACGAGGGAAAAGGCAAAAGGAATCCCCTCTCAAGGCCTGAACTCATCTTCCCTAGCTTGTTGCCCTCGGTACTAACACATGTCACACTCGCTGAGCTGTTCTCTGCCATGACACTCTCTCTAGGGAGTGTGTCCTGGTTTTTTTTTTTTTTTTAACAGGCTTCTGAGGTTGTATCTGATCTTTGGCCATCCAATGGCAAGCTGTCCTTCTAATTCCAGCAAGGAAGAACTTTTTAATATACTTCATAAAAGGGTAGCAAAAACAAAAACCACTTTGCACTCTATTTAAGACATTAATATCTCACTGTCTCCGTTGGCTGTTCCTTCTGTAATTTCATTAACTGGGCTGTGGATGAGGGGGAGAATCAATTGGTCAGGGGTATCTGGACCAACTCCCTTTCATCCTCTACCACTACATAAAATAATACCTTCTTACCTTCTGGCTATTCAGAAGGGGTTGGGGTGGAGGGAGAGATAATTATTACTCCCTCTGATAGCTCTAGATAAGCTAGGTCTTTGAAAATAGTGCAACGACGGGCCATAGGAATAGAGAGAAGGCTTTCTGTTGTTAACCAAGCCAGGCCTCCTTGATTTAAAACTGACCTCCCTCTTGAAAAGCAGTTCCCAGAGATTGAAATACAGAAAGTGTGGATTTTTTTTCTTCTGTCCTTCAGGAAAATCTGAGAGGCAAGGTAAGTAGAGGTTATAAGAGGAACAGGAATTACACATGAGCTAAATAGACCAGGAGCAACAACTGACTATAGGAGCCTATAGGAGGACTTCCTTTCTCTGGCTGTCTCTAACTAGAGTCTGTGACACATACTGGTGCAGAATGTGTTCACAGTGTTGTTCATAGATCTACAGAGAAGTTGGAGGAAGGTCAACAGCATTGATTTCCAGGCCTGTCACCATCCTGATTGCCTTCTTGGGGGCACCCTCTGACTTGTCAGTGTCCCTCCTAAAAGATGACACCCAAAACTGAATTCCGTACTTCAGATGTCGTCTAATCAGACATGACAGGAAGGCTGTTACTTCCTTAATTTGGAAACTAGGTGGTCTAACCCTATATCCAGATTTGATGCCCTTCTGAGAACTTTATAGAAAATGTGGATGGTACACATTCTTTGTCAGTCTATTAAAAAATGTAGCCACCACTCAGCCTTCCTAGCACCCTGCCTTAGTTTGTGATTCAAAAATGTATACTGAATTGAAATGTCGAAAGAGATGGAAGAAATCTAAGAGGAGCCCAGAAGACTAGGTGGAGAGGTGGATGTCCTAGAATCCCAGAGCCAGAAGGGGCACTGTTGACCTCCCTTCTTCGAGTCTCACCACCTGCCCTCTTTTAACTTCTTTTCCCCCCCTTTCTACAGGAAATATGTTTCCTACAAGCGTAAGCAAAGACACTGGGAAAAGATCAGATGAAGAAGAAGTACTAGGTATGCAGATGGGAAAATCCCACAATGACAGAGCTACAAGGGGTACCACCGTGTCTAGTTGTCTTTCCCTCTCATGACCTCAGGGCCACAGAGGCCTGTCCCTCTTATAACCATGGCTCCAAACCCTCTTGGACACACAACTGTGTCTTGGAGCTGGTGAAAAAAAGGCATCCCCTGGATGCAGAATCTAATACCAATGGTTATTTTTTCATTCCACACACAACTAGTCGTTAAATAATTTTTATATATGTGATCAAGAATTTAACTAGATTGTCCCTCCCGATGTAGAAGCACTTCCTTAAAGGAGCTGAAAAACCTACTCCTGATAACTTGGAATGGAGAGCTGGACTGGGCTTGAGAAATCCCCATTAGTCTGAGCCTTCCTTCACATGATGGCTCCTCAAGTATCTGCAGATTATCACATTATATTCCCCAGAATTTACTTCTTCTCCAGGATGCTTGTCTCCAACAGCATTGTACCGCTACCCATAATCATCACCTTTCTCTAGACATGCTAAAAGTTTAGCCCTTCCTTACATGTGACTCAGAGATGTAACACAATTCTCTAGAGTGGGGTCTGATCAGTACAGAGCACTGGATGACTGTTTCTCTGGTCCTAGACAATAGGCGCATTCATGCAATCTATGATGCCTTTCACATTTTTTCTTTGATAACTACGCTTCAGTTTTGAATTCTATTGGACTTGAAGTCCCCTAAAACCCTCAGTTTTTTTTATACAATAATTGCTCTCCAGACACATTTCACAAGATGACATTATTTTTGAGTTGTACAGACCCTAAGCTCTAAGCTAGTGCAACCTCCACCCAAAGTAGGTTGGGTATCCACCAGCCTCTCCCTGGAAAGACCAGGAAGCTCATATCTCTCCCTTCTTCCCCTGTGCAGCCCATTCCATTTTTGGGCAGAAGCTTTTAGTAATTTTTTTTTTATTATATTGATTCAAAATCTGAATCACTGTAACTTCCACCCACTGGTTCTGGTTCTGCCTTCCAGAACCAAACAGAGCAAATCTAATCCCTCTTCAAGCCAACAGCCCTTCAGGTATTGAAGACAGGAATCAGGCCTCTGCCCAAACTCCACTATTCATCAGGTTAAATTTCTCCACTGTTTCAACCCAATAATATTTTCCCCCAGTTTTTAATTTGTATTGCTATCTTTTGTTTTTACAACATCTTCATCTCCACACATATTCCTTGCTTCCTCCTTCCCATCGTGCTCTTCCTTATAGCAGAGAATACCAAATAAAGGGGGAGCATACTTCAACAAAACTAACCAACGCATCCTCTAAGTCTGACAGTGTATGCAGCGTTCTGCCCCTGGAATCTCTCTCCTTTGCAAAGGAGGAAGGTGAATTTTCTCATCTCTTCTTGAAGGCTAAACTTATAGTCATAATTGCATAGCATTTGGTTTCAGATTTTTGTCATTTGGGGGATTTGAATTGTATACTATTTTTCTGGTTCTATTTTCTTTTTTCCATTCATATGTACTTCTACACCTTTCTAAATTTTTCATATCCATCATTTCTTATAGTACGATAATATTCCATTACGTTAAAGTTATCATAATTTGTTTAACCATTCTCCAGTCCAGGGCCAGTTGTTTTGTTTCCAGTTTTTTTGCTACCTCGAAAAGTGCTGCTAGGACTATGTTGGTGGATATGGGACCTTTCCTTTCATTCTCTTTGATTTCAGGGAAGCTGCCTGGCAGTGGGATCTCTGGATCAAAGGCTGTGGACACTTTTAGTCACTCTCTCAGCACAATTCCATATCGATTTCCAGGATGGCTGGACAAAGCCACAGCTCCACTGATTGTAATTTTAGGGTGCCTGCCCTCTCATAACTCCTGTAGCATTGACCAGTCCATCTTTTGCCATCTTTGCTAATTTCCTAGGTATCAGGTGAAATCTCAAGGTGGTTTTGATTTACTTTTATCTTGTTATTAGTGATTTCACACTATTTTTTTTTTTTAGGCAATTGAGGTTAAGTGACTTGCCCAGGGTCACACAGCTAGTAAGTGTCAAGTGTTTGGTCTGAGGCCGGTTTTGAACTCAGGTCCTCCTGACTTCAGGGCCAGTGCTCTATGCATTGCACCACCTGGCTGCCCCTGATTTCACACAATCTTTAACAGCCATATGGCTGTCAATATTTTGTTAATGTTAATTTTTTTTGTAATTCTTTTGAGGACTATTTGTTCATGTCTTATGACCACTTACTCATTGGGAAATGGCTTTTGGTCTTAGATATTTGTGTTAGTTCCCTACACATCTTGGATGTTGGGCCCTTATCAGAAATTTTTGATTCAAATATTTTTCCCCAGTTGACATTTTCCCTTCTGATTCTAGTTGTATTGATTATTAGAGCAAAATCTTTTCAATTTAATGGAATTGAAATGATCAATTTTATCTTTTATGATCACTTCTGTTCCTTGTTTAGTTAAGAATTCTTTCCCTAATCATGGTTGTACAAAGCACCAGATATAGTTCTTGTCTCATTTTTTTAATGGTATGATATTTTAATATGCAGGATATGGATCCATTTTAAGCTTATCATGTGGTATATTGTATAAGAAGTTTATCCAAATTTTTTTTCCAGTAAAACCCAGACATTTTCATTTTTTTCCCCAAGTAATTTATGGTTTCAGGTTTATCATATACTGGGTTATGGAATTTATTGTTTTCTGAGTCTTCCTTTTTAGCCTGTTTTCCTGATCTACTTTATTTTTAATCCAATGCCAAGTAGTTTGATCTGATTACCACTTTATGTGGTATAATTTGCGGTCCAGAATTGCTATGTGCCCTTCACTCTTACTTTGAAAAAGTATTTTTCTTGAGATTCCTCTAGCGAATTTTGTTATTATTATTTAATTCTACAAAGTAACACTAGCAAGTCCATTGGGAAACATTATCCCTATGAGTTGGTGGGCCCAACTACAAACAATGAATATGCCTCCTAATTATTTAAGTATTTGTATATTATTTTAAAGAGTGTTTTATAAGTAAAACTGAATACTGTATAATTATAGTGACTAAACTTATCCTTGAAGAAGAGATGAGAAAATATGCCATCCTCCCTTCCTTGGAGAGGTAGGGGAATAGGAGTATGAAACATTGTATGTACTGTCAGAACATATTCATGTGTTATTTAGTTTTGCTGAATTGCTTTCTATTTTTTTCTTCTTCCTCTCTTTTTAATTTTTGTTACAAGGCATGTCTCATTGTGTAGGAGAAGAGAAAGGGGGTGTCTTTGGAAATGAAAGTGATTAAAAAAAAAGATATCAATAAAATTTTCTTAAGGTGTTTTATAACTGTATTTCTGTAAGTCTTAAGTGTGCCTTGGTAGACTGACTCCCAGATATTTTATGCATTTTGTAGTTATTTTGAATTGAACTTTGCTTTCTATTATTTCCTCATAGATTTTGTTATAGCTGTATAGGAATGCTGTTGAGTTTTGTAGATTTATTTTGTAACTTGCTATTTTACTGAAGCTATTAATTGTTTCAGCTAGCTTGTTTGTTGGTTCTCTGAAGTTTTCTAAGTCATCATATTATCAGCAAAGAGAGTTAATTTAGAATCCTCTTTGTCTATATTTATGGTTAAATTTTTTTTCTCTTGCTGTTATTAGCATTTTCAGAACTATGTCAAATAACAGCAGATAACAGGAACTTCATACATACATTATATAATATTAAAAATGGCCCTTTTATACCTATGCTTTGGAGGGTTTTTAGCATAGAGTGTTGCATTTCTGTCAAGGGCTTTTTCTACATCTATTGATCTAATCATGATTTGGAGTTTTTTTTAAGTAATGATTTTAATATGATTATGTTAATTTTATTTCAACATTGAACCATCCCTGCATTCCTGGTATAAATCCAACTTGATCAGAGTGAATATTTATTAAAAATATATATTGCTATGGTCTTTTTGATAGGATCTTATTTACATTTTTAATCAATATTCATCAGTGACACTGATCTAGAGTTCTCTTTGTTTTATTCTTCCCTGGTTGAGGCACTAAAATCGCATTTATCCCATAAAAGTAGTTTGGAATAGGGCATTTTCTTTTTTTCAATTTTTGAGACTAGTTAGACTAATAACAGAAGTATTGTCCTTTAAATTTTGATAGAGTTCACCGGTAAATCCATGTGAACTAGGGTTTTTTTCCCCCCTCTTTGGTAATTCTTTTGGAGCTAGTTCAATTACCTTCATTCCCCTCACCCCCCAAGTTGGATTGTTTAAGATTGCTATTCCATTAGTGCTAATTTGAGTAGTTTTAAAAAATCCTCTCTTTTAAATTCTTCACTTTATTAGCATATACTTATATACTATAGGTTCTGTAAATTATTTTTATTCTCTATTTGTTGTGATTTTGCCTTATTTGTTTTTTTTTAAATTTTGGTAGTTTGATTTTTCTCCCTCTTATTCTCCCTCTTATACAAGGTTAGTGTAAGGTTTGCTAATTTTTTCAAAGCCATCTGTTAGCTCTTTCAAATATTTATTTATCCATTCTATCCTTTTTTCGTTTTCTATTTTATCTCATCTAACTTTTAAGATTTCCTTTTTGTGCATATTTGTTAATTTTTATTTTTTAATATTTTAATTGCATGTTCATTTTATTAATCTTCTCTTTTTCTATTTTGTTAATGTATGTTTTCAGAGATGTAATTTTTCCTTTGAGCATTGCTTTAGCTGCATCTCAGAAATTTTGGTATGTAGTTTCTTCATTATCATTCTCTTTCACATAGTTATAAAGTATTTTTATGATTTATTCTTTGATTTATTTGTTATTCAGGATGTCATTATTCAGTCTTCATTTAAGTTAGTGTTTTTTGCTTATGTTTCCTGCATCAGCTAGTGAGTTTCTGAGGCCAGATTTGAACTCAGGAGGATGAGTATGTCTGACTTCAGGCCCAGCATTCTATCCACTGAGCTGCCTAGCTGCCCTGCTTTTTTACAATTCTTTAATCATTTCTATTACGTGATCTGTTGTTGTTTTTTTTTCTAATGGTACCCTGTAGGAGTGAGAAGTATGTTTATTTAAAAAAAACTTTTTTATTGATATGTTTTGGTTTTTTTATATCATCAGAATTTCTTCCAGTACCTTTCCCTCTTCCTCCTCCCAGGGAAGTATCCCAAAAAACAAATAGATGATGCAGTGGATAGAGCACCAGGCCTGGAGTCAGGAAGACTCATATCCCTAGGTTCAAATCTGGCCTCAGACACTTAATTAGCTGTGTGACCCTGGGCAAGTCACTTAACCCTGTTTGCCTCAGTTTCCTCATCTGTGAGATAAGCTGGAAAAGGAAATGGCATAGTATCTTTGCCACAAAAACCCTAAATGGGGTCACAAATAGTTGTGTATGGCTGAAATGGCTAAACAACAACAAAGAAAAAAAGAGAAAAAATCAGCAAAATTGATAGATATATGTAAAAAAAATTGAAAACATATACAATATATCACACTTATTGACCTCCTACTTCTTCAAAGGAATAGGGTAGGGGCTACCTTCTCATATCTCTTCTTTGGAGCCGTGCTTGTTCTTTGTAATTTTGTAACATTTACTTTTTTGTAGTTTTTTCCCCCATTTTACATTGTAGTCATTGTGTATGTTGTTTTCTTGGCTTTGCTTATTTAACTCTTATCAGATTGTTCGAATCATTCCAAGCTTCTCTGTATTCATCATACTCAATATTTCTTAAAGCCCAGTGATACTCCATTACATTTGTGTTACACTTTACTTAACCATTTCCCAGTCGATGGGTATCTACTTTGTTTTCAATCTTTGCTACCACAAGAAGTGTTGTTCTAAATATTTTGGCATATATGGGGACTTTTTTCTTGACAATGACCTCCTTCTGGTATATACTTTTAACAATTCCATTCATAAGATGCCATTTCAGATTTCAATTCTCCAGTACCTTGTTTAGGTATTTATTTTCCTTCTTGTTTATCTTTATGTTAGATTTGTCTAGTTCCAAGAAAGGAAAATTAAAAGTCTCCTACAATTATTGTGTTATTATTTTTGGCATTTTCCAGTTCAGTTAAAACTTCTGTTATGAAGTTAGTTACTATCCCATTTGATGCCTATAAAAACTGATATTGGTTCATTATCTACGGTTCCTTTAAGCATAATGTAGTTTAACTGTTTATCCTAATTTGTGAGTTTGTTTCTATTAAATTAATAATTTAAATAATCTTTATTTTTGCTTTTTTGATAACATGATTGTACCTCAGGCTTCTAGGAACTCATCTATGAATAGTATATGAACAGTAAATTCTGTTCTACCTGTTATTATCATTCTGTATTAATGCAATAGTTTGAACTCCTTTGCTTTTTGAAATCTACTATTCCACTTCCTCTGGTGATTTCTCATGTATGTGGATTAATCTTATGTTATTCAGATTGTCTTTCACATTTGAAGTTCTCTCTCTTTACTGATTGCAAAATTTGTTGATATTTTTCATTGAAATTGTTAAATTTAATCACTTCATATTTTCAGTTACTTGGAATTTGAAACAGGGACCTTTTTTTCTCCCTGGCAGAAATCTCTGATAGTCTCAGTCAGTGCCTTATTGTATGTATTTAGAAGTTCTGGACCATTATTTGCCACCATTTCCCACATTATTATGTTAGTTGGGTCTTTAGATTTATCACATTTTTCTTGGAGGCCTAGGATCCATAAGTTATCTGTGCCCTCCTGTCTTTGAGGTCAGTCAGTAGTTTTGGCTTTTGTACAATTCATATGTTCTGACAATGTTGCCTTTTGCCTTATGCTGAATTTTTTTCACTTTAGCATTTTTGTGTTCCAAATATATTATTCTCTCAAAGCTTCTTTTTTACTTCTTTGGGAAGTTGTTCAATCATGAATTCATTTTTTCTACTCTGCTTTTTTTTTTAATTCTCCATTTAGAGCTCTGGTTTCCACCCTAAATTCATCCCTAATTTCTTTTATGAGTTTCATTTCTTGTTTGAACCATTCTATAGTTTCTTAATGTCATCACATGTTTCTGAATAGGCCAAAAGATTCCCTCTTATCTGATCATTTTGGCTGATTTTCCTTAGAGTGATGGCATGAGGACCTGGGTTCAGAGCCCACTTCTTGTACATAGTGCTTGTTATGTGAGTGACCTTTGGCAGGTCACAACCTCCCTGACTCAGTGTTTCTGTCTTGATGTCTTTCAAATTCCAGTCAGTCACATGCCTTTGAGAATCTTCCCCCCCCTCTTTGGCCTCCTCTCCTTCCAAAGCTGCATATTCTCTCCCTCCCGTCCTACCATGCTCCCAAGGCTAAGCTGTTGGGCAACCTCACCTTCCTCATGTTGGGGGATGTTTCAGGACCTTGCCCTGAGTATGTCTCCAGGAGGAAAGGACTGGACCCTGCTGGGCTTTCAGGCATCACTTTGTTATCCTCTCACCTCTGGCTTTGAGCATCTGATTTGGTATGTCTTCGACCTCACACTATCCTTTTCTCCTTCCTCTAGAGCCCTGTAAGTGGATGGTACAGATGTTGTGATCTCCATTTTACAGATGAGGAAACTGAGGCTGGAGAAGTTAAGTGACTTTCCCATGGTCACACAGCTAGACATTGGCAGATATGGAGCTCAAATTCAAGTCTTTGGTCCTGCCCCTTTCTGTCACACCATGCCATAGACCCCTGTTCATCTAGAGGATCCTCCTTAATGATTACGCAGCACATTACTACAGGATTTTAAGAGATCCACTATGATTTCTTCCTCCATGGGGATCCTTCTTCCACTGATGCAGAGCCCAACCTTTTCATTCCTCAGCTGATGGTCTGTATTTCTTGTTATGGTACATCTCATGATGAGCCTTTCCAGAACTTGGGATGGTCTTCAAAAGCCAGATGCACAGTCCATCACCAGGACCATATTAAAACCCTTTCTAGCTTGCTAGAACTGCCTAGAGCATGAGCTTTGTTGCCATAAGGGGCGCCATATTAAGTTCAGAAAAGCATTTCACTATCTAAGATGGAGTCTCCTATAATGCATGTCCATTCGAATTTTCTTAAAATGCATTTTTGCTTCCTGGAGTGCTGTAGATATGAGTTAAACTCATGCCCTTCCTCATCTCTCTAGCAAATAACTTCTGGAGGTCAGGCTTCAGTAAACATCGGCGCTTCAATAAAGGAGACGATGAACCTCTTCTAAAGCCTTTCGAGGCTGGGGTATCTTTGGAGTCCAGAGTGTGCTTTCTGACCTACCGCCTCCACTGCTCTGACTCTACTCTGAGCCTCAGTTCCCCCATCCATTCACAAACATAA